CTAGGACAAAACATACATATTTAAGTCAAGTAAACAGTAAAATATAAATCATATTCTTAAATTTCAAGAAAATTAAACGAAATGTAAAGTTGAATAATTAACTATTAAAGAGGCTGCCATCATTGTGCACCACTGGGCTGTCTGAGGTAGGAAATGCAGGAGAAGTGTCTTGCTCAAGGACACCTTTACAGAGATGGATGGAGCAGGGGTTCAAACCAGTGCCCATCCAATTGTAGGGGGAACTTCTTTACCCTACACCGATGTCGCAGTCATGATGTTAATACAGCCTGGTGGTCCCTACATGCTGAGTCCTCCCGCCACCAACTGCAGACATGAAGTCCTCATTAGCGCAGCCTCTGGTGGCTGATCATAGGAGTTAATAGACACACACACATGCAAACACAGAAACACACACAGACATGTCCTGGCCTCCCACATCACTTCCTGCCTGTCAGAGAGAGCTCATTACTGCTAGAATCTAGCTCTCATGCTGAGCCAACCTGCTTTGCTATGCAGTGTTTTAAGCTGGCACAAAATGTCAACTTGCTAAAAGCATCTGCACTCTCTCCTTCCCCACTGAGGAGGGTTGGACAGGCGAACGGGAAGGGAGATGGGTAAAGTGGTAAGAAGCAAGTGAAGCTTCAATAATAGTAAAGGTAGGGGAAAGAAGGAGGGGTGGGTGGCATCCAAAGACAAAAAAAAAGCTGCCAGGGAGAAGAACTTTAGTTATTTTCTATAAAATGTTGAACATATGGAAAAGCAATTGTTTGCCATCTGTAAGATTACTTAAGTCTCTGTCTGTATCCCACTACTTACAGTGGAATGAATCCCCATCTTTCAAGTTATGTCCTTTTTTTGTGCTTGAATCTATAAATAGGTTTGAACCTCTGCTGAAATGAGAACACGCAAAAATAAAATGCAGACATTTTGGTTTGCATGCAAATGCTTTATTTATGCTAGATGAGAGTATTCCAGCCTTTCTCCAACTAGACAGAGCTCATAATAGGGTCAGTGTGTGGGCGGCTTTGGCTGCTGCCATCCTGCCTTCTTGTCTTTCTCCCATTAATAATAGTGTTTGTTCTGTCATGCTTGTGATAATTTTGGACCGTTTATCTAATCATATTTTTTCAAGCCTTCCTTGTTGCCCTTGAATCTTATTTGCTGGCCCTCAAAGTGGAACAGCATTTGTGATTTAGGAGCAGATCGGTGCTTAGGCTGTCTTTTAAACCTTGTTTTCTGTATATTGACTGATACCCTGTGTCTTTCTCCACCTGTGCTTTGACTCAGATTGTAACCTAGACAACCTTGTGAAGGTCAGCATGGGGGTAGATGAGGCAGGAGATACCTTTGGACTGACTGCTGCTATGGAACAATGGGAGGTTGCTGTGAATACATTTATCCAAGCACATCGAAGTTTTTCTCTCCTCACCAAACGTTCGTATTCAAAACAGAGAGGCAGCATGCTTTACTGAACCTACAGCTTTAAACTCTTGATGCTGAAGTCAGATTTTCACCTTTTGAAGTCATTTCCACTTGGATAGATTCAATTTTTATGTTTTGGCATCAAACAAGACTCTGTTAAGAAAACAATGTTTTGTTCATTTTCATAAAAAATAAATCTTAGTTTCCACATATAACCTTTAAGGTGCATTAAACTGGTTGACTTAAGAAAGGATAGCTTATTTCTGCCTATCCAAATAATGCAACAACCCACAGAGAAAATGCTTTTTAATTATATATTGTAACAGATTGCTGTTATTAGGATCACATTTTTATTTGATGGACACCACATTATGATGCATTTCATTGTGCTACATGATAGAATATATTTTATCATGTTTTTAAGATAAAACAGAGAAACTTTGCTGTACCTTAGTCCTTGACTCACAGGTCAATAAAAAGCAACAAACAAAGGTGGTTTTAGTGTAATGCAGTTCAGATTAGGAGGACTAAGGGGTTAGATATTCAGAATAATTCTTGGTATTCTTTACCAAGAATTAAAGGTATAGTGGAGGATTTTAGTGATTTTTTTTTGATAAGACATGCCCTCTCGACTATTAAAAAAAATGCACATGCACAACCCCGTACTTGCTCCTGAGAGGGAACGCCTATTAACTGCTTAAAAGAACATGCAAAAGCCCATTTCTCTTCGAGGAGTTGCAGGTTTGCAATGATAAGACGGTCGCTTGCATTGGATTTTATCTTACCTTTATTTACATATAAAAAGTTTTTCCACAAATAAGACTGCTGGTACATAAAAAAAATCATGACCTGCTTGTATGTGTGTGTGCTGTAGTGGAAATTTGGACATGTTTGCAGGGAAATGGATTTCTCCAAATAGCCGAACTTTATCTGTTGAGTAGAAACCTCACAACTAAGGCATCAGTGGGAAGCCCGGCCTGTGCTTTCAGTGTACACCATCGCGGGAAAGAATCTCCCAAAACACTTTGGTTGTTTCTGTCTTCTAAGGCCTTTCTCTTCGTTTCATACACTTCTTAGACTCTTTTTCTCTTACGACCCTCTGCCATTTTCAAAGAACCATGGTGAGAAAGGCGAACTTCAATGACTGGCTGAACCCATAGATCATGACATACGTAAAAGTGCAGATGCGCATGAAATGATGCTAACTGTGAATGAGCACGTAGGACGGCCTTACGTAAACATTTCACCAGAATGATTGAAAATTAGGAGTACTAGCAAATTGATTAAATGGATAAGCAAAAAATCTTTTTGTATTCATTACTCAGTGCTTAACCCAAACATATTTGTTGTCACTTATCCAGAAAACCTTACAAGTTGTTGGTAAAGGACATTTAAAATGTCAGATATTTGGATTTAAAGTTAAAAAATTGCCAATATTGTTCCATTCACATTTAAAATAATTTGATTACAGAAATATAACGCAAAGCTGATTACAACTACCTCTGTTTCCTCGATTAGCCTTGGTTATTTTTAATTCTGTGTGTTTATGTAAACACTTTTTTATATCCTAGTAATACAGCACTACACGCAGTTATCTGAAAAGTATGCGTTGACTCACTTTTCCACTTTTTCTGTAAGCTTAAATAAGCTTACTTGTTACATTGAAAAGATTAAGAGGGCTTTCATGAGGCCGAGTCAGTATCTTTCAACACAGATGATTATATCCTCCAGTGTCAGAAGATAGGCACAGTTCCAGTCTGCCCCAGCTGGCAGCCAAGCTGCTGGCTAAGCCAGGGCCAACCATGTGTAGGCTTGAGCTGAGAGAGATCAGAGGAAGGCAGCTCATCGATCCACTTCCAGGTCATTAAACCCAAGAGTGGTCTTATTGGGAAAAGCAGCATCACCCATGAGAGATCAATACTGGATAGAGAGGTTTTTGCCAGACAGGGAGATGGGTGAAATAACAGAGAGAACATACACCTCAGTAAATGACAAAAGTGAAAGCTGATGCATTTAAAAGGATGGATGTTATTTAATCAAAGTTTTAATGGCACACAAGATGCTAATTTACCTGTAAAAGTCAGATCTTTTTTTACATATTTGGCCCAATCCCAGAACCAATAGTGTATAGTTTTTCCACCTTAAAGAAACCATCCCCTTACTGTATATATTGCAGGCCTGCCACTCATCATGATGTAGCATTGTTCATTACATCTGACTGTTCTCCAGCTTCTACAGCATAAAGGGTACAATTAAAATCGGATTTATGACAGTCTATACTGTCATATAGTATAATAATATTATCATTATCATGATAATATGTCATCCATATCTTGCAAGATTGATTTAAACTGTGCTTGGAAGACAAGGATGTGTTTATCACTTCATTGAAGCAGCAGGGACAATAATTAGTTAAAATATAACTATTTAATTTTTTCTTAATCAACATATTGTAGAAAAAAATTATCCCCTTACGGTATAGAAACTTCCTTCTTACACAACAGAAAAATTAGATTTTAAAGAATTAATCATTAGTCGATTGATAAGATCAGTCAATTTTAGATTAAGTCATTAATTCATAACTTGCAAACCTGGTTCTGGTATATCTCTAGTTAGAGCTGAGTTTAAGTTTTTAAGTTACCTGTGTAGAGCAATACTGTTGGTTAAAATATTTATTCAACAGACAAAGAGGAAAATAAAAACTTGGATTTAGTAGAGTAATGAAAAGATTGCAGGATGGAGTAATGAATAAATGGAGTAGAGAAGTATTATCTCAGTAGGTTGGCTTTTCCGTGGATTATAGACCAGCCATCTGCCACCAAGGGATTATAATCTTAGAACAAAACAAAAACAATGAAGACAAGACCCACAATCAAAGCATTCCCAAAGAAAGGATCACAGGTTTTGCAAAGAAAACTGATATATATGTGAAATAAGTGATTGGTTATGAAAAACCTGTGGTAATCCATCTATATATTGATAAGCAGTCATCCATCCATCTTCTCATGCTTATTCCATCAGGGTCAAAGTAGGGCCGGTGCATATCTCCGGCAGTCTATGGGCGAAAGGCGGGGTACACCCTGGACAGGTCGCCACTCTGTCACAGCACTGAATGCAACAACAAAAAAAGTTAAATTTAAGAAATATGTCACCTAACTTATTTTGATACTCAACACACTTGTTAAAAAAAAAGAAATGTTTCTCCCTGTCAGAGTTTAACTTTGATAATGATCCAAGCTGAAATTAGGAAAAATGACAAAGGCTGAAGAATGAAAGTCATTTTTCTGCTCTCCCTTCTCTTCACTCTCTTTCTCTCTCTCTGTGGCATAACTCTACATAAAACGACTGTATGACACTACTACTCTCCAACCCACTCCCACCATTCCCTTCTCCATGGTCCCCTCTCCCTACAGGCTCCGCTTCCACTCGGCTCCAAACAACTCCTCCCTCTTTTCCATCCAAAGCAGAGAGAAAAGCATGTCCTCCCCCCCTGTCCCCTCTCTCTCTATAAGCCTCTCTCCTATTCTCACACCCCTCCTCCTCCCGCCTCTTGCGCCCCTCCCTTCTTTTAAGCGGTGAGGAAGCAGTGATCAGACCCTGCCCTGTTTTCTCCTTTTTTTTTTAAACTGAGGAGAGAGCAAACAGAGATTTAGAGCAGTGGTTTGGTGAAGACCTGCCTGACTCGTCACGGGGCATAACCCGTGTTCTTGACTTTTTCATTACCCGGTAGTTGAATCCACGACTCAGTGGGATCTTTCCCCCTCCCGTTGGAATACCGCTGCAGGGCTGGGAATTTTATCCCAGTCCCACTCCTGCTCCTTCCAGCTCAGCAAGCCTCTGCTCTAGGATGCTGTGAAGGATGGTCCACCAGGAAAACTGTTCTTATCAGGTATCCCTCAGAGAAATGTTGCTGCAATTTACATGTTTCCTTGGGGTTCTGTTTATGTCGCTTCTTCCTGTAATTAATCTTGGATGTAAGTGTTAAATGTTAGTACCTCAATACATCTGTGAGCTTTGAATGTAACATATAAACAGGCTGATTTTTACACATATTTGTCTCTGCAGAGACTGCGTGGGAGTATTTCTTTTGCCTTGTGCGGCTGCATGATTGTGTTGTGAATGTGATGTCTGGGTGGTTGCTAAGAGAGCACTTGACTCATGGGAATAATGTCTTACCTCCCATTCACATTCTCCTCCACACAGCCTTCTCAGTTAAGGGATGATGCCTGCATGCCACACCAACTTTCTTAGTGGGTAAAAACTCCGGTTCACATGTAAGAAGAAACAGTGAAAATAGTAGGATAAATAGTCTAAAATGCTTTGATGGTGTATAGATTTCGGTGGGTATACCTTCCTTCTACATCTTAGCCATGGTTTTCTATAAAATGAAGAAAAATCTGCATTGCAGTGGAGATGGAGAGTCAGAACGAGAGGAGAGGTGGATGAAAAGCAAGAAAATTGAGGTGAATATGCCTGGGGAGGAAATAATAGAGAAGGAAGATGGAGCTTTTTTGGTGCAAGCAGAGTTTTTGTGAGGAATGTGTTTTCAGTGTTTAATTAAATGAAACACAAAAACCTGAAATTATGCATTTCATCACTGAGAGACACTTTTGTATATTTTCTTAATCAGTGAATAATTTAACTGTTTGACAAAAGGTGAATTAAAAGATTTAAGGCTTCTGGCAAACTTATAAATGTTGCAAATCACCGAGCAAATGCTTCAATTTACCTTCCATCTATTTGGTGATTCAAAAAGATATACAGTCATGATATTAATTTGGATTGTTAGGAGGCCTTTTTTTGGCTGTTCCTTATATTAAAACCAGGGGAATATTAAACTGTTGGAGAGTAGTCACCATAAAAATAATTTCCTAATACTTCCAAAAAAAATCTTAAATACAGTTTTAAGCATCTTAATTTTACAATTGGTGCAAACAGTGCAATTACAGCAGTTTAGTTTAATAATGACATTACTAACTACACTCCATATATGTATTCCCACTGAAAAATATAGCCCCTTTTTAATAAGAGTGAGATTTCAAGAAGGCTATAAACATTTGAGGCTTTTCAGCATGGTCTGCAACAGCTAGAGATGGGCTTTACAAGTTATATACAAGTTCTATTCAGTGTCCTGTTAACTTTTTATTTCCCCCTCTCTGTTTAAAAGGTATCTGTTTTGCTGCAGTTTCTCTGTACAATACTGTTTTCTTTTTAGCATGGGCTTTTCAGCCTTTCATGCTTCCTGTTGAATAACCCAGTAATATTAAATATAAAGCTAATTCTATAGCTAGAGGAGGGACTTTGGCTATAAGTTGATACTTTCTTCTGTAAAAGCTTTAAAATCATAATGTCTCACCGTTAGTGGCTCCTGGTAGAGCTTATTCATATTGGATTTTTCGTTTTTGACCTGCAGAGCAAGAACACAGCAGTTTTAGAGAATATTTAATGGTATTTTAAATCAAAGTAGTGTTTTAGCAGTGGATGGGATGGGATAATCTAACATAAACATTACATTAATCTCAATGTGCATCCTCAACACATTTGCATTTGCTTGTCAAGAGTGTGGATATGGACTTGTGTGTGTTAGGAAGCAGCTATATTGTTGGATAAGGATTTCCTGTCATGTTGTGTGCTAGATAAGGACTGGGAAGAGAGACAAAAAAGAGGTAGACTTTGAAAAAAAAAAGAGTAGCAGATAACCAGTCTAAGCGAATGGATAGTGGAGATGGCAGATGAAAGGGGAAGATAAGACAGTAACAGGAAATTCATCCACCAACCGCAAAAGAAAAGGCAGCAAAAGAAGGAATTAAACCCATGTCCAACTCTTTAAGGGAAGAACAGTTAAAGCAGATAAGAACGATAAAAAGAAATATCAAGATCAGTTCAATATGAGGGAGAAAATGCTTGAAGATCTCTGAAAAAGAGGCTGGAGCTGAATGTGTGGGAGGAAATCTAAAAGAAAAATGGAGCTAATAAGAGAAAGCATGAGGGCGGTGACAGGAACAGAGGGTTCAGGCTCTGATAACAGCAACTCTCTGGAGACCCCTCAATTAGACTGGTATCCTGGCAACCAGGCCAGACAGCGCCCCTCGCTTATATATAAAACACAGAGCTGTACGGGGATGGAAAGACGCAAAGGCCAATGACAGAATACAGAAAACAGAATTAGAGTAATGAAGAGCTACAATGGTCAAGATGTAATTAGATGAAGTGGAGAATGAAGGAGGTTGAAGAGGATGTTCTAGGTGTTTTCTTCTCTGGGCGTCTCCTGGGACAGCTTGTGTATGAATGGAGGCTCTGTTTTGACTCTGCATTGTTTCTTTCTGTCCTGATTTAAATAAGGTGTGGTTCTAGATTTGTTTGCACACAAGCACAGGAATCCCTCCTGTTTTCACAGCCTAAATCATTTGAAGCACTAAGTGTCAGAAGGCATTTATCAATTAAGCTACCAACTGAGACGGTCGGTAAAGCAACGGTCTCACTCTTTCTTAAAAGAAAAAAATTGATTTTGCTGGTTAAGAATAAACCAGATTTAAACCATTTGACCTAGAAAATGACAGATCAGCTGCATCTGTTTTTGTAATTAAAACCTTAATTGGGCAAAAGGAGGGATACTAGAGTCTGACATCTTGGTTTTCCCACTTTAATGAAAAATTATCTTTAAACCTAATAGAGCTTTAATACTGTCAGCAGCTGCAGCAGTGCCAGGACTGTGAGGGGCGCTGGTGAGATTTATATGTATGGTCACACTGTGTCCTCCCAGGCTGTTGCTGTGCTGACAGCATGCAGAGTCTGAAGGCACTCTGATGGGATGCTGAAACATGTTTGTCATGGAAAGTTTTTTCTGTTTTTGGAATGTCAATAAGCTAATATAGTTATGGATACAGCAGTGGAAGTTTTCCAGTATGACTGTAACTTTATATGAGGTGAAGAATGATGAATAATAAATTAAGAGGAGAAGACAGTGGTGACTGGTAAATCATTTAAAATAACACATCACATTCACAGTCCTGTACATAGGTTTTATGTTACATATCTTCATTTACGGTTATTTTAGAGCTGCAACTAATGAATGTTTTGCTAATCAATTAATCAACTGGTTACTTTTTCATTTAATTCATTATTAATTGGATAGCAAAGATGCCATAAAGAAGATTTTAAACAGGTGAAGCTAAAACTTTGCCACTTTAGGAGTTCTGGATTTAGCATATTCAAAAAGTAAAATATTTTCAAATTTAATGGAAAATTCTTAGACATATGTTTTGGGGTTTTTTTCTGTATAATTTCTGAACTTAGTGGGTTGTTTTTTCAGCTGATGGCATGTTGCAGTCTGTATACTCCAGTCAAACACTAATCATTTACCAGATTAGTTTATGATTAATTCAGTAATGATTGAATTACCGTTAATCTGACCAATTTTTTCAGCCCTAGTTACTTTAGATGGAATGCTTCGGAGATATTAGTGCAGTAAATGAAATCAAAGACTTTGCTCTCCTTTGAAAAATGCATGCTGTCTGCATTACTAAACAGTAAAGGTTACCCTAGTAAGGCTTTTTTAATGATAACCTCGAGCAAACATTTAACTTATTATATGTATGCGAAAGTTTGAAACAAAAATGTGTAACAAGATTTCATTGTTTGTATAAATAAGAGGAACAAAAGAATCATTCTTTGTAATTAACGGTGTTACTTTAAAAGGGGTATAATTTTGAGACTGTGATGACATAATTTTTGTGTGACCCCCTTGATGGATGGATAAACTAAACAAAATGTATAACCAAAGGGCTTTTCTGTTTTGAATATCAACAAAAAATATCATCAATTCAACACTTTTTGCAGCATTCCATGAAAAAAATGGATATGGGTCTTTTTTGGGTTTTTTTTTTGCAGATTGTAGACTCAATTTTTACCATAACATTGGAATAAAATGCTTTGTCAAACCAGCTCATGTCTATTCCATGGATTTTGTTTGTTTTTATCTCTTTTATTTTCCGGTCCTATTTTATTTACAATTAAGTTTGTATGTATGACAAAAAAAGTACCTCATAAGTTATTGAATGGGTTTTAAAATGAGGCTATGAACATTGGTGGGCTCCTATTGGCCTAGTCAGTATAGATCTTACCTGAAATTAAACACCGTAAATAGGCATATTTTGAAGGCTACTCATACTGGAATTTTCTCTTCTCACAAAAGTTAACTGATTATCCCTATTTTATTGAGCTATTTTTATAGCAATGTTCTATTCTGTAGATATATTTTTCTAATATATTACAATTTGCAAGGTCCCCCTATAAACACTGGCCTCTGTTGGAGTTACAGGCCTTCCTGATGGGCCACCGCATGCTCCTTCTGCAGCCCAATTTGTTTGCAACATGGAGCATCACCATGGAGACCTGCTCTCAGCACTGCATGGGCACTAGTACCAGTCCTTCCCGTCTCCTGCTAAAATAAGATCAGTTCTGTGTCTATGTCTCCCCTTTCATATATTCAAGGCATGCATATAGATACTGAGCAGCAGCATGCCAATAGCTTACTGCTCGCTAAAAACAGAGGGGGAGTGAATTTTTAAAGTGTGTATGCTATGGTTTAACTTATGCTCCCAGTTGTTCTAACAAACAGACTCCTGACATTCACTCATCCTTTTGGGAATTTTTCAGAAACAAAAAAAAAATGCTTTAATTCTTGAACTATTAAAGCTAAGCTGATTCTAACAAATATAGCTGCAGACGTACACAAAGGCACACTCATAATGCCACAAGCCCTGGATCGTAGGCTTACACGAGGTGCCAGGAACCCTCTCCCACAGTCACCCTCTGTTCACTTGGAACAATAAGCCATCTATGTGCAATTTTTCTTTGATTATTTTGACAATTTCTCTCAGCTGACCTAACAGCCAGGAAATCATCAAAACCATTATACTTTTTCTGAGCGTGTCCGTGCCTCAGATATGCAGCTAAAAGCATACAAAGAGATGTTTGCCACTGATCTGTGATCCTTCTAAGGCTTGTGTACAATCAGTATCTGAAATCACTTTGAAGATGCCCTGCATATTCTGCTAATGCATGAACAGGGAGAACTTCTTTCTTCAAGCTTCCTTTGTATCAGTGGTGACTTCATCTCCACCATGAAGTCAGCCTCAGTAATGAAGCAAATCGAGTGGGGATGATTCTGCCCCACCCAGGCTGCTCTTGCACACAGAAAACACTGATTTCATGGTTTCGTTTTTTTATGTGTGATTCATCTATATTGTCCCCAGAATCAACTTTATGTGTTACGATTCAGAAAACAGGAAAGCCTAGCTGCATTCTACCTATAGTCCTTGAAAGTCAGCATAATTTTTTTCTATGTCTTCTACTCATTTTCTTTTCAACATTTACTGGCTATAATTCTCACAGGTTTATTGTCTCTGAGTCCCCCTTTCTTAGATCTTACTCATCGACTTTGTCTATGAGCTGAGAAAACGTGGAATTGAGTCATGGATATCAGTTTCAGTTGTAGACTTTTTCCCTCATGTCTCCGTCTTTGCATCCCTTTTTTCCTTTGTTTTGGTCATCTCTCATCCAAGATCGCCATCACCCCATGAGAGCCCCTAGCTTTTTATATGATCAGTGACTGATTTAAGAATTTTTAATTTTACCATCTTTCTAAATTTTAGTTTTTTGTTATTCCTTGAATTTTTGGACTTAACTAGTCACATTAACATTTGAAAACCTACCTTTTCTCTAAAAGATAGAGGTGAAAGGTTCCACCTTAATGTTGTAAGTCGTAAATGATTCCATATCAGTTTGCCAGTTATTCCTTATCATTGCAATGAAGAAGATGCTTATTTCAGATTCAAATGTTCATGAATGGAGAACCTGTAGACTTTGTGATCTCCTCATAAACCAAGCTGTTCCAAGACAACACTGCCTAATTTTTTCTAAAATAGGAAAGCTCCAGGATAATTGGAGAGTATTTGGGAAGTCTATTTAACTGATCACTTTGGCCAAAGGATACATCCCTTATCACCAAAACTGCAACCAAAGCGAGAACAGCGCAGCCTGCTCTCTCCCTTCATGCCCAGAAACGAGGTGAAGCCCAGGAGCACGCTCTCTGCCTCAACGCCAACGAAAGCCACAGAAGAAGATAAAGACATGGCAGCCTGCTGTTTATAGTTTTTTGGAGCCTGCTTTTCCACTTTTTAAGCTGCAATCACTGCTATGCCATGGAAAAACATAGCAGCCTTCCCTCCATCCTGTCCTGGGCCAAGTTGCCAGCTACTACCAAAATTGCAATTAAGGAACCACGCCGCGCCTTGCATAGGGAAGTACCAACAAGTAAACCCTTAGCTTTTCCTGACCTTTGCTTGTTTTAACTGCTGCCTGGGCAGACTAGTTAGGTTTTAACTCTATATTACTGCAGAAGGAGTTCACTTGAACTTTCTGGTGGATGTTTTGATTTGTTATTTAAATCATGATAAGCATACTGCTGTTGTTTGGGATCTGTGAAAGACTGCATCGCCAGGCAGCTAAATTAGACCAACCCACCTGAAGTCTAACTGCTATTTATGGGGGTTGGCGGCAATGTTTGTAGTTTTTGGGGGGGAGTTTTAAAGGTTGTAGCATGTTCGCCTGCCTTGGTGAACACAGAGCTTCCCTCATTTGTGCAAAAAGGAAGTGAATTTGTTTAAATTTATATTTAAATTTATGTTTTACACTATTTTCACAGCCCTTACGCTCATTTAAGGTCAGGTATGGCCTAATTCCAATGTAAATAAATAAGTTTCCGCATCACCATTGTCTGTGCTGAAATGCGATGGGGAGGATGTCCAGATGTCAGTCAAAGAGCCTTTATGTTCATAAGAAAAAGAGAGTATCCACCTGGTTTTCCGCGTGAATTGACTTTTTTGAGTTACTTTTTTATCGCTGTCTACTATGCTGGAATACTTTGCGCCGAACCCTGTTTACTAGTAGTGGTTAACCTAAACCCAGGTCAACAACTGATTTAATCATCTACATTTGATGGTACATTATGCGTATAGTTGTTCATTAATAATTGTTGACTATAATCATTGAAGGCCTTTAATAACAATGATCTAAAATATAATTTTGTTGTGGAATTAATTTTGATTAGAAGCAATGTGATATAATGATGCTTACAGTTAAATGAACAGTACTGCGTATTACAGCAGTTGAATTGAGAAAAACATCTAATTTGTAGCGTAGTTAAATGCCAAGAACGATACCTAATGTCATGATTACATCAGAAAGTACAAGCAAGTCTTACTGGATAAAAGAAATGAAAGAAATTTAATCATATTCTTAATAACTAACTGCTGACCATGGAAAAGTTGCTTCTTCATTTTTTAAAACTATAGTGATACAGGTTTGAATGTGATATAGTAGTCAACCTTCAAAAATTTAAATACTTCAATTAAAATAAAATCACCTTGGAACACACTTGTATTATTTAATTGCTCTTATCTATAAATATGTTTTCCAATTCAACATAAAAACAATACCTTAATTTTACCACAGAGCTAATGCTTAGTGTAATTATGACCAATTAAAGAAATATTTACTTGATTTCCTTTTTTAAATCATGTGATGTATTACTCTCACTTTACTTCACATTTAATGTTTTCCAGTTCTTAGTCATGGATTCCATTTTTTAGTCTAACCTGTTGACATTGTGTGATTGCTGCAGCAATATGTTATCATTTTCTGCCTGGGCGGCTGTGACAAATATGTGAGTCACTAGTTGGTCGTTTTGCAAAGATGAGGTCATTACACGCCATAGAGGGCTCAGATTGAAAATATACATCTTTGATACAGAGCAGGAGCAATCCACTTGTGTGAGAGAGAGGGAAAGAGTGACTGTGTGTGTTTGTGTGCCAGACTAATGGCCCATTGTACTCTGTCAGGGTTTATTTAGCTGGCCCGAGCTGTCGGGCTGTTGATTTTGGAGTCCAGACGAGGCTCTATTTTCACCTTGGCAGGAAGAGAGACACTATCCTCTCTGTTACATACTTGCACATACTTTTACATACGTTTTTGCCCCAAATATGGAGGGTTATTTGCTCTTATAGTTTATATAGCTGCTAGGAGTGGTGGTTGGTACAGATGAATATGTACAGACAGTAAAAGATTATGTTTTAGTTACGTTTGTAGTCATAACAGGAGACATCTAAACACACATTGGCATGAACTCATAAACACACTGTTGCTATCTGGATCCCATTGCTGAGGTGTCTCTTTTTCCAGCTGCTGTCCTCACGTCAGGACAAAAAGAAAAAAAACACACTGGGGTGTGAGTTTCTCCTCCTCTCTGTCTCTCTGGACTGTTAGAGGCCACTCTGTGCAGAGGGTGGAAGGTAGGGAGGGTCCAGCAGGGCCTTACCTCTGACCAGTGCTCCTTCCCAGTTCTGCAGAAAGGGCAGGACCACAGTGCAGTCTGGGACAGCTAGTGGAGCAGGCGGAAAGGACAGATAAAAGAGTAGCAGTGTCACAACATGTTAGAGGAAAAGGCACCAGCAGAGGAGCAGAGTATTTGCTTTTGTCTTTAGATGAATGTTGTGGGATTATAACACACATCGACTGGGCTGAACCTCCAGAGCCGGTCTGAGGAAATCCACCCTGTCACTGGGTAGGGAAAAGGAGAGAAGGGATGAGGTGAGAGAGGCGCTGGATAAAATGGACGGTGTAGATGATGTCATCAGGCAGGCGTCCATCATCTACCTCAGTGATGACTACAAAGAGGTAAAGGAACATGTCATGCTTGTTCATGCCATGTTCAAGATTTTAAACATGATCGTTGTTGAATGAAAGGAATAACCTTTTTGGTCAAAAATGTCACAATTCTACAGGCTGCAGCATTTTTACATCTTTATTAGACACTAGTTTTAGAAACACATTTGCATTTCAGTTGTTTTCAGTAGCGAATCATTTTTTTCCACAATGTTTATATTTGGAGGCACATTTACACAACAGTAACCGCAGAGTATAAACTGTAATAGTTTCAATCAACAAATATTATCAACACTGAATTGATCTTCCTTTTCTTTATTGAATACATTTCCCCAAAAATTCTAGTTCTATTTATGATTTTCACTCCTTGTATTCATTCAAAAACATTTATTATTTTGAAATATAAATGAAATAGAAGTATTGTAGAGATTAAATGCTGCCAGAGCATGACATGTTTATTGTTGCGCTAATTGGTAACATACTAATTATCTTGCATGGGAGGGGGGGTCATGTGCTTTGCTTATACCAAAAGCACTAAAACCTATGATTTTAGGTTGTAATATAGGTATTCATCCTGGTAGTGTTTACATGGTCTTTTTCAGTCCAAAGTGAATTTTTGCACCTTACACAATCATCATACGTAAAGGTTATTATATACTACCATCTGCTGGCAGTACAACAACTCCAGCGGCTTCTGAAGCTTCACACAGGCCCTCTATTGCTTTTTGAAGGTATTTCCTTCTTGTTTATCTTTGTCACGATTGGTTGTAAGTTACAAAAAAAGTCATTTCCGCATGGGAAAGTGAAGGCTAGTGTTTATGTAGACATCATCTCCTTCAGGCATCCTCTTTATTGTGATGTTGTCGTTGACCATTATTACAATTTACTGGCACTAATTTGATTTATTTTTTATTGGAATCACAGATTAAATGGTGATAAAAGTAAGTCTTCAATGTCTGGTTCTCTGCATCCTCCACTGGTCCACAATCCAGAAACAAAGAAATTAGTCATTTGCAGGTTCCCCCAGAACATAAACCAGTGCTGTGGAGATAATTCAGCTGTTAGCTGTTTTGTATCAAAAACCCTTTAACAACATACAGGACACCCACTCTTGACGGCCAGAGTTGTTACCCTGTTAGTAATGGGGTCTTTATTTCTTAATCTTCCTCTGTCTTTGGTAGAAAACACATTCCTTTGCTCAGTCTTTCCACTGAGTTATGCAGACCATCTCATGGATAGAAACCACACATGTGACTCACAGGCCCATTGTCCTATCTAGACATAGGTTATCCTTCTTTTCTGCTAATATCCCTGCCCCCTCTTTGCTTGTAAACTCTTCTATCATTTGGGGAGTCATTCTCTACTAAGCTGAGTGACAAGACCAGTCTTGCACTGACCTGCAGCTGAACTGAAAGAGGGGCCAAGGGTCGAGTCCCTTATCTGGGATGGAATGCTGCACTGCCTAGAAAGACAGGTGTCAGATAACAAGGAGAGGGAGAGACACAGAGATGCATGCACCTATGTTTAGCCTCCAGTAATTGCATTGTGACTTCCAATGTTTATAATTTCATCTACTATGGTGGCTATTTAAGGTAGTTAAGAAAACTAGCTAAGATATTTTTGTGCTTGTATGCTTGAAATACTCTTTGATCACCTGATGCAGGACATTTCTGATTTTAATAATGTTGCTAAGCATCTCACAAAAATATTTTCCCATTTTAATACATTGACCTGAAATTATACAAATGCATGCAAATTAAACCGCCTTTATTAAAACTCTTGAAAGCCCTTAAAATCATCTTTGGAACAGAAGTTTTCCATAGAGTCATAGCGCCTTCATTATTAAGAGACCATGACTGCCAGTCTGTAGCTTTGAGATCTTAGTAGCTGCTCTTTGTCAGAACAGAGCCCCTTTTATTCTCAACTCCATCAATCATAAAGTATATATACATGCATACTCCCAGAATGGTTGACTTCTATCAGTGGTTCTATCTTTTTTTTAATTTATAATTTTAGTAAAAGCTTATGTTTCCCAGAACCAAAGCACTAATATAAATTCTAAAATATCAATAAAACCAGATTTGTGATTTTCTGGTGTTTTGAAAAAATATATACCTAGACATTTTTTTAAGGAGGGATGCAATTTAATCCTTTAATTTTTATTTCCCAAAAATATTTTTGTCGTTAACTTTTACATGGTTTTTCATTCAAAGCAGCATGTGTAGGCCTACTTGGATAACAGCTTAAGAACATTGGACATATATTTTTAGAGAAATCTTGTGAACTCCAATTACATTTCTTTTTTTATATCCAAGCCATAATGACATAATGGATTTGGTTTTCAACTTTAAAAGGCCATTTTGTGTGCTCAAATAACCCAGTATTTGTGTTATATGTGCAGGTGTGTTAACAGCAGACTGTGTGTGTTACCAGGGAGGAAGATGTCACTAAACAAGAACCTATTTTGCAGGAAACAGGGAGACCATTTAATGAGAACTATTCTGGAAAATATTTTAAGAAGTGAGGAGAGAACATTTCAACTGACAGAATATAAAAATTGTTATAAAATTGAAATATAAATAAGGAAAGGATATAAAAAAAAACAAAAGTCTGCAGATACCATACATCTACAGTTTTCCTTATAGTTGTAATCAGTGCATTTTTTGCAAAAAGTAAAAAAAGGAAGCTCTTTTTTTTTGGCACAGTTCATCCCATATTTTTAATACAGATTTTGCAAGAAGATTTGCTGGCCAAAAGACAAGCACCATGTCAACGCCCGCCAAGACTGAAACAACCTCCAGGCCTGCGGCTGAATATTTGAGTGGAGGGGAAATTGTCTTTGCCAATTAGGCTTTTTCAGCAGAGGAAATCGCTTTGTGAACTTCAGGAAAAACACAAATTAGCCCACTAGTGTTTCCCAATCTAATTTGGATGGCTCTGGTAGAACTGAAGGAGGTGGTTAGGGCTGTCACTTATTCTTTCTTGCATGCTAATTCGTATTTTTTTAATTATTTTTTTTTGTCTGATTGACTCAAGCAATCAAAATTGTTAATGTTTCTGATTGTTTATGAATCCATAACCACACATGGGAAAGCTGTGAGTAAATAGGAAAAGATTATGGAAAATGTGCTACACTAATAACAACCCAAAAAATCTAAAAGCTTCCTAAGAAGAAATAGATGATTTTAAAGAAAATTCAGCCCCACCTCCTAGTGACATTCTTTACACCTTTGAAAATGTTTTATGGCTGTCATGATGTTTTTATCACTCTTCCATATAACCAACAAGTTGTTTGCAGTCAGCAAAGAATTATATTAGACAGGTGCCAAATTCCTGCATCTTTCTAGCCAAAGTGTTAATCAGTCATTTTGTTTACTGTTGAGCAGTTTTTGCATTGAAATGTAACTAAATACATCAGATCAAGCAGAATAAAATTTACTGAATTTTTAACATCTCTGGAAAACATTTAATCATTCCATTGTGCACAGAAGAAGACTCTAGTAATGCTTTAAATGATGGCTTTCATCAAGGCTTTTCATGACTGCGATGAGAGCCACAAGCTTTTCTCAGAATTTCAGGAAATTACTTTAAATCCATTGGTAGGGCTGGACTGAATCTATGTATTTTTTTTTTCTATGTAGAAACTGGATGTGTTTGTCCTCTAAAAGGCTTTTAGTAATAACTTGTTGTGAATCAGCACTCGAGAAATAAACTGACAGAATCAAATTAAATTAAGGGAAACTGGGTCATTTATACTTGTTACTTTTTGCACATTCTTTTTTGAAAAAAGTGTGATTTTCAACAACTGCTGAAATTTTCTATTTAAATTTTAGTTATAGATCAACCGCAGGACTTTTATCTGCTAAATGCATTAAATTGCAATTGCCTTCCAGCATCAACTTTTACAATACTACAACAGCAAAATAACATTATTTGCTAAGCTGTTATATTTTAAGTGCCGTAGTGACTACCCTGATGGGGAGTAATTTTAGTTGCCCTTACTTCAGTGTTAATGCGGACAATGTGCTCAACCCATATTTCCCACACAGGAAGGTTCTCTTTTTGCATCATTACAGCTTAGAGTCATCTGGTATATTTGCACTGTGACTGTTTGCATCACTTTCAAGGTACCTTACATGAGCCAACAGGCCCAGCAGATATATATCAAAATATATAGACTTTAACTAACCACTAAGAAAATATGGCTTTTTCTATTCATTTACATTTCATTGGTCAATGCACAATCTAGGCTTTTAAAAAAACATCTTAGGATGTTAAAATCTAATTGAGACATTCATGAAAAATGGTTGAAAGAATAGAATTGGGCCGATAAATATAAAATGTCACTGGTGACTGCAGTGGTATATTAGTAAATAAGAAGAAAATGTATCAGTTTTTGTGACATGTCGTTTCTCAGAATGTCACTCTCTCTGATTATATACTATACTCTGTCCCTTAAACATTTAATGACAACGTTCTGAACAGTTTACATTGTTTTTATTTGACAATCATTTTTTTGTTCTTTTGCACGCAAAATGTCATTCTACAGTTAACAGATTACTAGAGAATTTCATGCTAAAGTACTTAAACGTTTCATTACTGCTTCATTGGAGCATGTACACATCCATACCCCAGCAGATTGGGCTTATCCAACCAATAAGGGGTTATAAAAAGGGTTTGTAAAGTTTTAGCAACTGCTGATGTCTTCTGCATAGTGTTCCATATGCAGCCAGTCTTCTTTTCTGCCTTTCCTCTGCTCTCATTTATGAACAAAATTGAAAGCTTTCTAGTTGTCTTTTGGAGTTGTTTATTTGTACAGAGGAGCGTTTGACCTCTTATTACCATGAGGGCCTTTGTTGGGCCTCTGAGGCCATAACTGCTAACCTTCATCTTTGTTATCAAAGCTTTTCTTTGTGCAGATAGGCAGCAGCAGCAGTCAGCTCCACCTTCAATCCAACAGTGTGTATGTAGCAAGAGTGTGTTGGACTCTCGTGTGGTGTGGGATTATGCTAATTTTTGTCCTTGGTGATAGAACAGTCTGACAAAGCATGCGTCTAGTTATCAAGAGAGGTAAACAATGAAGGAGGATAGAAGGGGGAAAGGAGCTGAGAAAAAAGTGGAGAAAAAGTTGGATGAAGAGCTCTGTGAGGGATGATGGTAGGAACAGAGCAGACTCAGGTTGATGGAGTGAGGTGGGGTAAGGGGAAATTGGGCGTGATCATGATGAGTCAGAAAGACAAATCGTGGCTGAGACAACCGATGGGACTGATTCATAAAGGATAAGAAGGTGCGGAAATGAGATAAGGAGCAGCTAACAGTTTGACTGATCTGATAGTTATCCTGCGCATACAAAAAATTCTGGTTGAGGCTGGGGTTGGTTGAAGATTCTAGTAGACAGAAGTGCCACTTGTAGCTCACCCTCTTTCTAAAAATATTTCAATTCAAAATAGTTACAGGTGGCTCATTTTTAGTTTTCATTACCTCACTATCTATCTCATTCCAAACAGCCAAACTTGACTTTCTTTAAATGGTAAAGTTTAGCAGCCTTCAATCCGCCAGCTAACTGGCAGTGCTCAGCAACTGATGGGGTAAAGTTAAAACTCTGTGCATCATACAGCATGCCAAAAATTGAGTCCCTTAAACTTGATGTTGCATCTCTTTAAAAATAAATTAAACCATAAGACTTGCTCAAAAGTTCAGTGTGTCATTCGGATATCTCTGCCAACTGTTGGAGCTTATGGAAATTTGAAAGTAGAAACACTGTTGAACATCTTTTGTAGTATTCACATATGTCATTTATTGCAGATCAAAATATATAAAATAATCTAAACCACAATTTATGCCTTTTAGCCGAAAAGATGCATTTTGGCAGCAGATCCAAGAAAGACCAGCAGCAAATAACCCAAGCAGGCTGACAGAGAGCTGTTTGTTCAAGGGGCCGCCATCTTACCACTTTGACTTATTGTACTGCTGGCTGTTGTTCATGTATTTTTTTTATCTTTTAGTTTCTCCCTTTTTATGATATCAGTTTTATTAATTTATCTTTGTCCTATTTCCAACTCCTTTGTGCAGATTATGTTTTTTTATGTGCACTATGAATGAATAAAGGTTGTAAAATTCATCAAATGAAAATGGGTAGGTTAAAGATGCAAGGACTTGATTGCATACATCAACTTTGCATTATAACATTAAAGGATGCACAAAGTAGGCACTTAATAAAGTAGGCACTAAATAGACAAAGAAAAAAAGAGACAAATCCAAAAAGGTAGCCATTCTCACCCTGCACTAAACCTATTACCTTTTCAGCACTTCACTGCATCTTATATTTTTCTTTGTTTTGTATTTCAAATTTTGATACAATTGAAATTAGATTGTTTGATTAACTTAATTGCCAGCTACCCTTGTTCTTTAGTCCTGCTTACCTCTGCTTGAATGTGAAGAGCTGTTATGTTAGAGGAATCTTGGCCCTAAAACCCAAAGAAAGTTTTTTAAAATTTTAGAAGAATATATATTAATATTTTTTGTGGTTCTAGTATTAATGTTAGCCTGACGTAGTCCGACTCAATTCTAGTCAGAATATGAGTCTGATACTGCTCCATAGAGCTGTGATTATGGGGCGTGTTTCGAACAAACCAGGAAAAAAAATGCCTCTGCACTCAATTGGATAGACCTACAACCAATAAGAGCAACGGAGTGCGTGACGTATGTTAAGCGAGGCATAGTTGTTGTCCACAAAAATCAAAGCGTGCAGTTTCACGCCTAGAATAAGAAGATGAGACTTGATCGCGTTTCTCTGTTCCTCTTTTAAAATTAATTTGCTGTCGATATCTTCTAGAACAGACCTAATAGCAGAATCTACTCAACCAAACTCTCCAGCGGCAGCCATTATTGTTGTCACCCTAGCGCGCTTTGGTCACGTGGTTGATTACGTTACTCTTGATCATCTGTCCATCATCGTATAAAGTCCGCCATGACAATTTGATTGGATCGCCTGACAGTGGGCGATAATACTCGCGCTACTATGGAGCAGAGCCAGACCGAACTTCCCCGAACTCAAACCTTGTGGGCGGGGCTAAGTTCTGACTGGCACCCAGGCTATATTAATGTAGCTTTAAAAAGAAAAAAAAAAGTACTTTTTAATGGGGATAGAATCATGTTGACAGCATGGTGGCTTTATAATGAAACAATAGCCCCACCTAGTGGTAATCAATTAAATACTATTATATTTTGTAGTTCAACATCTTGCTACACACTTTGTATCAGCTTGTTTAGATGACATTAAAACCTTTTTTTTGTAAATTAAGTCAAAGCCAGTTTGTTTGCCATGTTTGCAAGAGTGATTTGTACAGGAAGTAGGTACTAAAGATAACACTGTGTACATGCAACTAATCCTGAAGGTGTTGGAAAAGTAAAAGTTTTTGTGGGAGGTTTTGAGACCATCTCTTTGGCAGAAGTCTTTTTTAAAACCTGATTACCAATGATCAGATTGTTAACATCTGAATATGATTTCGTTTTTTTCTTGAAGGCCCAGAAGAATGAGAGGGAATCGATCAGGCAGAAGTTGGCCCTGGGCAGTTTCTTCGATGATGGCCCGGGTATCTACACAAGCTGCAGCAAGAGCGGTAAACCCAGCCTGTCTTCACGGTGAGACTTTTGAGGTTGTAGCTACCAAATGAGATCGATGCATGGAAAACACAGAATCTTTTTAAAGAATTTACTGGTTCAGGTCTCAAGACCTTGATTTTTTGAAATAGCCTGAATCAAAAACACATAAATCTTAATTATTCAAATTTGTTCTCATGGATTAATGAACAGAGTTAAGGGACTGAGGCTGCCTGCATGAGTAAGTTAGATCAACCTTCATAGCTCTCACTTCCTTAAAGACCCTACATGCACACAAACACTCCTGCCACCTCAGACACTGAGCTTTACTGGAATCAAATCTCCCGTAAACACCAAAGTGCACTGTTTCTTGCACTTTGAATCATGTGTATTCTTCACAACCTTAAGTGCTGTAAAAAAAAGGAAAGTCATGACACTGGCCTAATGAAACGTTAGTTTGTCCTTTGATTTAATAAGTCAGATATTACAGCCAAGAAAACTGTATAAATTGAAGTTGTCCTTAGAAACAACACTTGGCCACTTGGGTCCTGGGTAAATTGGACCTGCATGGATCTTTACCGTGTGATCAATGAGCCCCTGTTTATAATTACAGCAACGAATAAGCAGATTATTGATCAGCAGTTGTGTGGATCTGCCCCCTGCTGATATCCTGCCCTTCCATGACACAAAAGCTCACCCCCCTCTGGATTTGGGCGGATTGTATTGGACCTACTGGTGGCCTATTGGATCAATCTGCATTGGAGATAAACAGCAGTGATGATTAAAAACAGAAGCCCTGTTTTAATTTTATCCACAGTCTGAACTTTGTTACCGCAAAGCGAGCAGTTTCTGTTTTTTTTGTTTTTTTTATGCGTATAGTGGATCACTCTTCACGCTAAATGCTTAATTGATGCAAAGAACTAAACTGAATTCATCAAACATTTTTTGTATTTAATCATTCTCCTATTTTTCTCTGTCCTTGTGTTCCCATCAGGCTGCAGAGTGGCATGAACCTACAAATCTGTTTTGTCAATGATAGCGGCAGTGACAAAGACAGCGATGCGGATGACAGCAAGACGGAAACTAGTCTGGACACACCTCTGTCCCCCATGGTACAAACTAATGCAAACTGTGCCTTTCTAAAGTACTCGTAGCACTTAATCATGTCCACATATTATCACAATACAATCCAACATATCAATGTGTTCTATTGGGATTGTGGTGTTGCATATTTATGAATTAGCATAAAAATCATATCTCTTTTTTCTAAGTGTTGCATTAAAAAAGTGAGAAGTGCGGTTATATTCAGACCCTCAAGACAACACTTTGTAAAACTTCATTGCTCTCATAGTGTAATTAAGGTCATTGTCCTGGTTTCCATCAAGGATTACCCTGGGTTTTTTTAAGCCATGTTGTCCAGAAAGCAGAATTATACTTTTTTTTTTTAACACAGACCTTTTTTCAACATGTTTGCTCTGTTGCCTACATTGCATTCTGCAAGCACCAGCCGACATCTTCAACATTTCTTCTTGCCACTCTTCAACAAAAGCCAGCTACATGGAGTGCATAGTTAATACAAAAGGAGCCATTTTTAACAGATTCCCCTAAATGAGATGTAGCTATCTTTCTCTGATTGCCTGCTGTACAAATGAATCATTTCATCCAGGTCATAGTCATTCGAAAAAAGTAAAAAAAATAAAAAATTTTTGACCTGCAATGCCCTATGCTACCCTATGCCTGCCCTCAAGACTTCCTTTTCAGAGGCATAGGCTAATATATATTGCAGGCCAACGACAACCTCAAAGACTCTCCATTACTACGGGATGGACCTGTTTATTTGGTTTAATTTGCATGTTTTTTAAGCCATAACGAGGCTTTGTTAGGCTACTCCATTAAACTTGGAACTCAGCACTAATCCAGACATTTTTAAATGATAAAACAAACCTCAGAGGCCTACACAGGACAGATTAGACAGATAAAATTACACACAGATGGACTTTCTAGGTAGGTTGAAAGGTTAGTGGTTGACTTTTTATTTAGGGGCATCAGAGGGAAGTCAGTTTAGTGTTTGCTTTTTATAAATTTTTTTAGAGGCTCTTTTCTTCTTGCTTCTTTATGTTAGTCTATCACATAGAATCCTGAAAGAACAAATTCAAATGTTTCGTGGTAACATGACATAATATAGAGGACTACAGTAAGATGAGGAAATTGCTATGAAATGTGTCAACTACACTATGAAAGTAGCAACGTGACAAAGAGCTGTTTGTGTGAAATAAGGTTTAGATGGAGGGAGAATGTAGGGAATTAGATGAGAAAGTCATTATGAACCAGAGAGTTACTGACACTCAGGTTACGTTATGATTATGCTTACTAACATTTTTTTTTTCAATTCTTGTTAACCAGATTAGACAAAAAGTAATTGCTGGTTGTTTGCTGAAACTGTGAATCATAATGTAGGTTATATTAACTTACTACTTTTTTTATCCCTTGCTTTTCCTCTCTTCCTCTGTAGTCCAAGCAGAGCTCGTCCTACTCAGACAGAGACACCACTGAGGATGACTCAGAGTCCCTGGAGGACATGGACTTTTTGAGTCGACAGAAGAAGCTGCAGCAGGAGGCGAAGCTAGCTCTGGCGATGGCCAAGCCTATGGCCAAGATGCAGGTGGAGGTGGAGAAACAGAACCGTAAAAAGTCACCAGTGGCGGACCTGGTCAGTAACAGACACATGAAGCTTTACAGTGATTTTAATTAAAAAAGAAAAATATCAGTATATGTTTTTTTTCTAAAACTACTACTTAAAAACAGCTCAAATATAAGGACCTTTATATATTATTTTTATTTAAATATTTTTTTTTAGGTTAGATCAGAGATCTAACATATTTTATAAATACAGAGCACTCACACGTCTGCATCATATCAAATTTCCCCTCTAACTCCCATCTACAGCTTCACAAACATAAAGAATACAAAAGAATTTAAATCAGTAAAATAAAAATAACAGTAAAATGTTTTTAATTAACGCTAATCTAATCTTGTGTGTTTGTTCTACCTTATTTTCATATATTTAAAAAAACAAAATAGCTCACTTCTATCCTTTTCCAATATTTCCGGTGTTATTTTTGATTTGCGGCTACTTTTTTTGCTGTTTTCTAACCTCTCCAGCTGTATTTATATTTGCAAGCTTGATCATTTCCTGATGGACATCATAACAATTCTTGCAAGTCAGTACTTGCATTCAGCTGCAGAGGTGCCAAATCAAAACAACGCAGTTTAAGATTGAGAATGTTTGGCAACCTCTATCCATAACAATGGTTAGAAGAATTGTTGCTTATTGTGGTCCACTTTTTTATGTGGAAAAATGTAATATGGTACGGTTTGAAAAGTCAATACATATTGCAATAAAAAACTCATAATATATTTATATTATAATATTTTCTTGATCAATTATAATTTATTCACAGCCAGGAATGACGTTAAAGTATATGTATCTAAAAGAGATTCAGGGAAATACCCTAAGTTACTAAAAAAGTAGAATCTGTTATAATTACCATAACTAACACATAGGATGGTGATATATTCTGAATCATGCTTAACCACTTTTCTAAGCACTAATGAGGTAAATTTAACAAAGAGCTACCAATGGAAACATTCTTTAAGATATTATCCTATCAGATCAGGAAATATTCTTTTCCATGGAAAGTCCTTCATATTGAAACCCCTTTAAATTAAAGGAAGGAAGCCATCTTTTCCAGTCAGGATCCATGGTGTTGAGCTGATCTTTATCCTGGCTGCCTCACACTCAGCTGTGAACTGCCCCAGCACATTTTGTAGGTCTTGGCAGAATTGAGCCAGCAGAACCATGTCGTCTACAAAAAACAGGGGTGAAATCTGGTGGTCACAAGCCAGACCCCCCTCTGGCTGCACCCAAATATCCTGTCCATAAAGGTGATGAAGGGAAGGCTGAGAAGTTTGATTTCCCATTAGTTGCACAGAAGCACACCCTCTGCTCCTCCTTCTTATGGAGGGAATCCAGCCCTCCGGTGTGCCAGTCAGTCACAACTGTCCAAAGACATCCAGAGGTCTAAGGTACTCAGGGTGGATTTAATTTACCCCCAAAGCCTTCCCGTCATGGAGTTTTCTGACCACCTTTGTGACTTTGGCAGTGAATAAGTCTTGCTCTGAACAACCATCTTTGCTTCTGCCAGGGAAGGCATGTCGACCATTTAAGGTGATCCTCAAAATATTCCTTCCAATGTCTGACAATATCCTCAGTCACAGTCAGCAGCTACCCCTCCTCAGGAACTGGTTTATCAGAAATGCTTTGAGGCAAATAGTCTTCAACCATGGTCTCTTCAATTTCTTTCCAGATCTGATTTTTTTTTTTTGCCTCTTGGCCTCACAGTACTTGCTAGCTGTCTCAGGAGTCCCACAAGCCAACAAGCCTAGATAGGAGTCCTTCTTCAGCTTGACAGCGTTCCTTACTTCCCGTCCCCACCATAAGGTTCAGGGGTTGCCGCCACAACAGGCACCGCAGACCTTAGAGCCGGTCAGCCACATCGAGAGTATATCCAAAGAATATGGTCCATTGAAACTCCATGTCCCAGCCTTCCCAGGTATCTGAGAGAAGCTCTCCAGGAGGTGGGAGTTGAATATGTTCCTGCCCAAGGCCTCCGTCAGACATTCCCAGTAACCATTTACAGTACCCTCTTACTACTCACTTAGACCTGCCCAGTCTGTCCAGCTTCCTCATCTTTCAGCATATTCAACTCATCTGTGGACAGCTCAGCTCCAATCCTCTCTACACTTGTAGAGAGATATGTCTGCAAGGTTGATCATCGAATTCCTGGTTAGGGTGTCCTGGTGCCAAGTGCACTGATGAATATCATTATGTTTAAACATGGTGTTTATTATCGATCATCCATGACTTAAGCTGAACTGAAGTGGGGGGAGATAAGCAGACCCATTGAATTTGAAATGTTACGAACGTTCTTACTATCAAATGCACCCTTTATAAATTGCTGTTGTTTAAGTCAAGTACACAGCTTAATCATTATCATCTGATTATCTTGATTAAAGGTTCCACCTGCTTTGATTAAAACTGTAGAGAGCTGTCATGCTCAGATTTAATGTCTAAGTCTTGTTCATAGATCTTCGTGGTGGTAAATTAGTCATTTTTTTATAAACACGTTTCTCAAAGGTATTGTAAAGGATTTTTTAAAAGACCCACCCTCTCCACTTAAAAAACAAATGCGAGTGCAAGAGGATGCACGAGCCCATTTCTCCTCTTGGATGCCCTGTTTAAAATGTGCTGTTCTCATAGCTCATACAAGCTTACTGTGTCCACATATAGCAGGGACTATATGGTGGACTTTATAGCAAACTCATTTAATATACCATTCAGACAGATGATCAGTGCTTATTGCTCCATTGGTTACGTTCACTCCCCGGTGCCTGCGCCATCTTTGTTCTTAGTCACCGCTGTCGGGTAGCGGCAGCCTATGTCGACAGCAGGCCGCTGTGACAGCAAATCCCATAATGCTTTGCGAGGAGAACTCTCCACGCAAAGCATTCCAGGATATATCTGCCTCTTCTGAAACCCTTCCTTTCTCTCATACACTTCGTAGACACTTTTTCTCTTACGATCCAATGCCATTTTCATAGAACCGCGGTGAGAAAGGTGAGCTTCAATGACTGTATGAACTAGTAGCAAACCACACATATGCGCATGCGCAGAATAAGGCGAGCCGTAGAACGGCCTTGCGTAAAATTATCACTAGAGTGATTGACAATTAGGACGACCACTTAATTCGATGATCCACCTGGAAATAAAAGATTGTCCTATATACCTTTAAGTAAATCATGTATAAACTCGTTGTTGTTTTTTTTTTGTTTTTTTTTGTATGGTTAGTAAGACATTATTAGTAGTAGTAGTTTAAGTATTATTATTGTTATATATCAGAAAAGACAAATGAATAATTTCTAGATTTTTTTTTAAACTCTCATTCAGACAGATAATGGCTTATTTTAACTTAGATTTAAGTTTATTAGATAAGGAGCTCAAGCTAAATTCTGAATTGAATAATTTTATCAAACATTTTAAAACAAAATGTTTGTCAGTCTTAAGACTAAATGTTTTAAATGGTTACCCAAGTGTCATTACTGTAAACAATAAAGCCACAATTACTGTGCTAGTTCTATTATTTCTTCCTCATTAAGCCCCATGTAGAGAAAGGAAGGTGTCTAGGAGTCTGCTTGTCATTATTTACTCCGTTTTTATCTGTACCCTATCCTTCTCCCTCTGGAGTACATTTACCGAGAGACACCCAACACAATCTCCCATAGTGTCACTCCGGGGCACTCGATATTTCCTCAGCCAATTTACTTATTCAAAGGAGAGCAGGACAGCCTGACCAGGTCCATCTACAGGTGCTGATCATAAAATTAGAATATCATGAAAAAGTAGATTGATTTCAGTAATTCCATTTAAAAAGTGAAACTTGTATATTATATTCATACATTACATACAAACTCATATATTTCAGATGTTTATTTTGTTTAATTTTGATGATTACAAATGACAACAAATGAAAATCTCAAATTCATCATATCAGAAAATTAGAATATTGTGAAAAGGTTCAAAATTGATGGCCCCTGGTGCCACACTCTAATCAGCTAATTAACTCAAACCACCTGCAAAAGCCTTTAAATGGTCTTTCAGTCTAGTTCTATAGGCTAAACAATCATGGGGAAGACTGCTGACTTGACAGTTGTCCAAAAGACGACCATCGACACCTTGCACAAGGAGGGCAAGACACAAAAGGTCATCGCTAAAGAGGCTGGCTGTTCACAGAGCTCAGTGTCCAAGCACATTAATAGAGAGGCGAAGGGAAGGAAAAGATGTGGTCGAAAAAAGTGTACAAGCAAGAGAGATAACCGCACCCTGGAGAGGATTGTGAAACAAAACCCATTCAAAAATGTGGGGGAGATTCACAAAGAGTGGACTGCAGCTGGAGTGAGTGCTTCAAGAACCACCACACACAGACGTATGAAAGACATGGGTTTCTGCTGTCGCATTCCTTGTGTCAAGCCACTCTTGAACCACAGACAGCGTCAGAAGCGTCTTGCCTGGGCTAAAGAGAAACAGGACTGGACTGCTGGTGAGTGGTCCAAAGTCATGTTCTCTGATGAAAGTAAATTTTGCATTTCCTTTGGAAATCAAGGTCCCAGAGTCTGGAGGAAAAGAAGAGAGGCACTTCATCCACGTTGCTTGAAGTCCAGTGTAAAGTTTCCACAGTCAGTGATGGTTTGGGGTGCCATGTCATCTGCTGGTGTTGGTCCATTGTGTTTTCTAAGGTCCAGGGTCAACGCAGCCACATACCAGGAAGTTTTAGAGCACTTCATGCTTCCTGCAGCTGACCAACTTTTTGGAGATGCAGATTTCATTTTCCAACAGGACTTGGCACCTGCACACAGTGCCAAAGCTACCAGTACCTGGTTGAAGGACCATGGTATCCCTGTTCTTAATTGGCCAGCAAACTCTCCTGACCTTAACCCCATAGAAAATCTATGGGGTATTGTGAAGAAGAAGATGCAATACACCAGACCCAACAATTCAGAAGAGCTAAAAGCCACTATTAGAGCAACCTGGGCTATCATAACACCTGAGCAGTGCCACAGACTGATCGACTCCATGCCACGCCGCATTGCTGCAGTAATACAGGCCAAAGGAGGCCCAACTAAATACTGAGTGCTGTACATGCTCATACTTTTCATGTTCATATTTTTCAGTTGGCCAACATTTCTATAAATCCTTTGTTTTTATTGGTCTTCAGTAATATTCTAATTTTCTGATATGATGAATTTGAGATTTTCATTTGTTGTCATTTTTAATCATCAAAATTAAACAAAATAAACATCTGAAATATATGAGTTTGTATGTAATGTATGAATATAATATACAAGTTTCACTTTTTAAATGGAATTACTGAAATCAATCTACTTTTTCATGATATTCTAATTTTATGACCAGCACCTGTATAATTTATATGACGGGAAGCTTTGGTTCAGGTGTTCAGGGATATAGCTGTGCTCTGCAGTCAGAGGACATCACTGTCACATCAGAATGCGTCGCACAGTGCATGTTGAGCTGCTTTAAAACTGCAGCATCCCGTTCTTTTACAGAAGCAGAGAGCTGTTAAACTCGTGCCTTAGGAGACATCTGAAGATAATGGACAGATCCGACAAATAAAAATAAAAGCGTAGAAAATTCCTGCTAGTGTTTTGATTTGGGGTTTTTTTTTTATGGAGAGCTGTCTTGGAGATTTTGTGGATGATTACATTACAAAAAAAAGTTTTAGAAACCCACCTTCCTCTGGCATACAATCTTAATTTCCCAGATTGATTACAACAAACTTGGATTTTCCTACCTTCGTTTTGAGTGACAAACAATGAGATTGTCTACAACAGCTTCAACTTGAACCCATGTGCTGAGAATGTGGGTTTTCCTAAAGCTCCAGAAAAAGACAATCTGTGATAGAAAATGAGAGAACATTGCAAATAAAAACCCTGAGTAAATCTTCTGACCCTTGGCTTCATTCAGAAATGAGCAAACTTCCTCAATCTAAAATATTTTTTTTTTACTTCCTGGTATCGAGTGCTTAAAAGGTGATTTTTTAATTAGAAGCATGATTAGGCCACCACAGAAACTAAAGCTTTGGTCAGGAGCTGAGTCAACCCAAATAGAGCGTTTCCCATAACTAACTTACTCTGGCCTCTGACATTACATTCATCTGATGACACCTTTCTAAACGTCATTTCAAGAAACTGAAACCAATACCTTGTGGCCTTTACAGTGGACTTAGCAGCGTTTAAGAAAGTGAAAGAGTTTTTTAAGAAATTCTTGCACGTTACACACTCTATTTGTGTTTTTGCCCAGACTGCAGGTGAAAGTGAGTGTTGAATAGAAAAAAGATTTGAACGTGGTTTGGTGAGAGAGATGACAGCAACAGGGTTCACAAGCAACAATTATATTCCAGTGTCTGCCTGAAATAATGCTGTCAGCCAAGAAAATCTTTATTCCATGAGTCATTTCACTTTGGAGAGGACTCTGAAACCACCTCCCTTTGCTCTCTTGGTATACATTAAGTATAAAGCAAACAGGTTAAAAGTTATTTAATGTTCAATAGCAAAAATGATCAAAGAGATTATTTCAATTCCTGCCTTCGTTTGTTTTTTTTTACTTATGTCACTTCTAATCTGAATTATTGTCCTTTTTTTAAACATATTTGCATTATTATTGTCTAAAGAAATCAATGTAAACGAAATTTACAGACCGTTTTTATTAATCTTTTTTTTGTCTGTTTTTACATCTACATCATTAATAAGTCAGACACTACTTTTATGTATTTTTATTTGCCATAATAATGACCATTTAAACCAGACAACGCCTTCCACCCTCTGTAGCTGAGCAGCACTCTTAGTGAAAGACTTTTACACCCTGTTTGTAAAAAGGAGCGCTACCGCAGGTCATTCATCCCTGCTGCAACCAGACTCTACAATGCCATACTACAATAACTTGTGCAATGTATAATGTGCAATTGCTATTTGATACCCTTTGCAATAACCAGTTTTTTAGAATTTATACCCAGTGCAATAGCTATATATATAAATATCCATCTATATAAATACCCATGTAAATACTATTGACTATTTGAGTTGAGTTTGATGTAACAAGTACCGGTAAATCAAATATCCCTTGGCTATCTGCACAAAAGAGAAAAGAATAAAACCTAACAAGTGATTTTTTTTTTTCCTCCCATCAGCTTCCACACATGCCTCACATAAGTGAGTGTCTAATGAAACGAAGTCTGAAACCCACCGACTTGAGAGACATGACACTGGGGCAGCTTCAGGTTATAGTCAATGACCTCCACTCCCAGATTGAGAGTAAGTCAAACACACACAAAGTCGCTTACCTCTGCTTTTACTAGCAGAAATGAGTAAGGGAGCAAATGCTAACGGATACTGCATACCAGTCAGCAGCTTACCGACAATATTTACTTTTACCACTTTCTACAACTCATTTATCATGCCACTTAGAGATGAATAATCTGGCATTTTAAAATTAATCTATTTCAAAACCCCCATGAGTCCTAAATCACTGTCAAGTTCCAAGTACAACAGCAGCCTTCCATTTTAAAGACATCTTTAACCTTTTGCTTTATGGAAGAGAAACTAAGATATGCCACTCATTAATCCTTAGGTGGCTCTTAGGTTGTTTATCGGATGTCTGCAATGCATATATATATATATATATATATATATATATATATATATATATATATATATATATATATATATATATATATATATTTATACTTATGCCTGCAGCAAACCCATACCAGCAATATTTCACCTAGCTTTAAAGGATTTGTGATTATTTAAAAATTATAAATTTTTAAATTACTGTTTAATCACATGTGTTTATATTCATATTTCTCACTGCAGGTCTGAATGAGGAGCTTGTACAGTTGCTACTGATTCGAGATGAATTACACATGGAGCAAGATGCAATGCTGGTTGACATTGAGGACCTCACCAGGTGAGGAAATATCTATAAATAACTTTTTGAGTAATATTGGTTAGGGACATTTTTGTTACTGTTGCACTCTTTATACCAAGGTTTAACATCTACTTTTAAGAAAAACAAATGCTTGAAAAGAACCTTTTATACAACATGAAGTTTACTGAAGATATGAAAAAATCAAAGCATCAAAATGGGAATTCCAATCCATTTGAAAAAAGAGCTAGTGAGAATTCTAAGTCTGAGAAAGCAAGGAAATGCAAGTTTATTTATATAGCTAATTTCAGTGTGAGATAATTCATAGTGCCGCACATGAGAGAAAATACATTGCAGTGGCATAAAGGCAGCATAAATATTTCAAGAGAACAAAACTATGGACTAACATAAGATAATTATATCAAAAAAGATAAAATGATTGCTAAAAAAAAAGGAAATGGAAGTTGAAAACTTCAGTAAATGTTTAGATAGTCAAACAGTCAAAGGCCACTCTAAAAAAAAAAAGTTTTTTAATCTCGATTTAAAGCAGCTTAGGGTATCAACACTTTAACAAGTTTAAGGGAGTTTGTTCCAGATTAGTAAAGCATCAGAACTAAACAAGCTTCCTCTCTGTGTTTGGTTCTGGATACAGACAATGCAAACTAAACTTGAGCTGAACTACCTGAGAGGTCTGGGTGGAAGATACATTCACAGCATATCTGTAATGTATTTTAGAGTCAAACCATTCAATGATTTACAGGCTAACACGTATTCCCCGAGGCCTCTTCCCAGAGATACAGGGACCCAGTGCAACGACTGTATTTCTGAGGTGATTTGCTCCACTTAGTTTTAGAGAGGATGAGGGCAGCAGCATTCTGGATCAGCTGCAGCTGTCTGATCCACTTTTAAGCCTGTGAAGACACCTTTTAGGAAATCAGTTCTCTAAAGATCAGTGCATGAATTAGTTCTACTGAGACAGTTGTCCTTTATTCTTGGAGCTGTTCTTTAGATGATAGAAGGAAGTCTTTGTTACTGTCGGTATGCACCTTTGAAGGTTCAGGTCTGAGTCCATCTCTACATCCTGATTTCAAGCCTAAATGGTGGTTTCTACTTATATGAACTGAATATGTGGACTAAGTTTTGGTCACTCTTGGTCCAAATATGATTACTTGAGTGTTATAAACCATTTCTATTTGCTTGGGACTCCAATGATTCAAACAAAAGCCATAATCTAAAAAGAAGAAATCAAAACTATCCCAGAGAATATTAATGGTTGATTAAGGAGTTCTCAAAGGAACACAAAATACATCTAAAGCCATGCAGGCTTTACTTGTGCAGTGATGTGACCTTAAAAAGACAGCTCATGTTCAAAAGTCCTCATTGTGACTGAATTTAACAAATTTAACAATAGCGTGTAAAATTTTCTCCACTGTGATATGAATGACTTATTGCCAGTTAGTGCTATTATTAATCTAATCCATTGGTCACCATTGCCTCAAAAAAAAAAAAAAAGTTTAGTTTTTTTTAGAAAGGCGCAAAAAGCTTTTTACACCTTTTCCCTAAAGCATTGAGCCTCCTGCAGACTTGTCAACTCTCATTAACTATGACTTGCAGAGAACATGGACTTCCCCTGAAAGTAATCTGTGATCAGTACAACTAAACCCAAGTGGACTCCATGTCCAGCCTGCAACAGGATTGTATTTTCATCAAAACAAACTCCAGTTCCCACATTCAGTGGGTTGTTTCCAGACTCTGGAGTTTCCCAATTTAAACACACTGTTGGTGCAGGTTGTTGGATACATTTGACTTAGTTGGGTTTGGTATCAGATTTAAAACATTCGTAAACACTTCTGTATTTGATCTCACCCATGATCTTATTGCAGTTTGGAGCCTGTCTTTGAAAACACCAAACGAAAGAAAAACACAATTTTATTCTCCAGTTGTCTGTAGAACATTGACCAATTTAACACTAAGGTCATTTCTTGTTGCTTTTTCTGAAAGACTCGTAAAGCAAATATAATATAGACACAGCTTACTTCTAAATAAGAGATTTTAATTAAAACTGTTCCCATTTTGCCAGACTAGTTTTTTAGGTGTTCAATAAAACCCAAAGTCTCCCCAACCCATATAAAATAAAACTCCCTTTTGGGTGATTTGTTACTCTTAATCAGAGTTTAGTTTAGTTTAAAATATCTGCATTTATCCCCTTTATGTGTTCTAAGATTTTAGGTGTTTTTCAAAAGAGATGCAATTAATTAAAATGAATTTTAATTTTATTAACTTTTCTCTTCCCAGGCATGCAGAGAGCCAGCAGAAACATTTGGCTGAGAGGACCCTAGCCAAATAAGATGCCCGTCCCATCTCATCCCGTCCTGCTCTGATCCGTTTCCCCTTTGTCAACTTTAACCCTGATCCTAAACAAACTTTCCCTATCTGGGTCATTTCTCTGCTCCCTGTGTCTATCCAAAACCTCCTTGCCTGTCAAAAGTACTTTCTCCTCTTCCCTTCTTCCCCCACTTCCTGATGCTTACCCTCCTGCCAACTCACTGACTTCACTGGTAGCAACAACACAGAAGAAAAGACACTTTCTTTAAACGGTTTCTCCCAGCAATGAAGGACGGAGCAGTGCTTCCTACTTCCTGGGGAAGAGGGAAACTGATTGTGTGTTGTCATAGATTCTTTCCACCAGGCTTCCTGTGCAGTAATCGGCCTTGCTTTGCTACTGTTTCTTTTCAACTTTCTACATTTGCCACTAAATTGTAACTGTTCAAATGCAACAAAAAAAAAATGTGGAAAAAAATAAAAAACAATAGTTAAAACTTTAGTAGAAAGTCAGTCCTGAAAAGAAAAAAAAGGAAAATACTGTATGAAAATAAAACTTAAAACTAACTTCTTCAGATGATTTTAAGTTGGACTCAAAGTTGAACTGTTTTTATTCTGCACAAATGGTAGTATTCAACTGAGAAATGTTTGTCCGAAAGTGTAAAGGACACATGCCTGCTTTGTAGTGGAGTTGTAGACTTTGGTTGTACGTTCACTCTGAATTGCTCTATCAGCATTTTGTGAATGTTGAATCTTTCTGACACAAGTCATTTCAAATGATTAAGTGTGTTAATATGATTTTCATCCTGCTGTATTCAGATGCTTTATTTGAGGGAAGAAATGTTTATGTACAGATATGTAAAATAAAGAATAAACTTGGTTTCGTATTTGTTGGCCTGTGCACTTTGTCTGCAAAAGCTTGGAGCTTCCTCTTTCTAAGAAAAAAGTGACACATTACATACTGTGACTCAGCTGCTGCTATATTCATGTTGCTTAATCATGTCACTTTTTGAATTAGCCTGTTTTCTTATTTTCTGTGGGACTGCAAATTACTGTGGGCAACCCCTTTAAAGTCATAATCATTTTTTTTTTCTTCAACAAAACCAGTGAGCTTAAGATGAATATTCATCACTCTCTTGTGGTGCAGGACCAAAAATACTGAGACAAATCTATATGACTTGAATGTTTTGCGATGAATACAATATATTTTTTTTAAGTAAACTACTTTCTTCAAATGGGACTCACACCTGAATGCAACGTGTAACTCAAACAGCTACCGTGAGTTTCGGTTTTTGACAATCCTGTGGTCAATGTGTACAAAGAGCAGGAAACTCCTACAGCCACACGGCTACTACTAACATTTCAAATAAATGCCCTTCCGTTAAAAGACAGTGTGTTGAGCACAGAAGAAGAAGTAGTGGGAAGAGGGCATTTCTGATACAAGTAATATATTACATATATATGTATATTATACATGTATAAATACGTACACATGCAGACAATATTTTTGGCACCCCACGTTCAATTAAAGAAAAACCCACAATGGTCAGAGAAGCAGCTTGAACCTGACAAGTAAAAATAAATAAAAGTTCTAGGAAAATTAACAAATAAGTCAGACATTGCTTCGTCAAACCATGCTGTTTTGAAAAATTAATGAAACAGTCCTGGAAAAAAAGACTTTACCCTAATTTAATATTTTGTTGCACAACATTCTGAGGCAATCACTGCAATTAAACATTTCCTGTACCTGTCAGTGAGACTTCTGCTCCTCTCTGCAGGTATTTTAGTCCACTGCTCCAGTTGTCTCACACATGAAGGGTGCATTTTGCAGCTGGCATGTTGCAGCTCCTTCCAAAGATGCTCAATAGGATTGTTTGGATTATGTTTTATTATTAATGTATGTACTTGTTAAATGCTAATAATACCTGCCTGTTAAAAGGGGAGCATACAGCAGAGTGGATCATTCTTAACAGAGAGCTCTTTCAGTGTCCATTTTGATCGTCCTTGAACGAGAACCCTTTGTTATCTTGGTATGGCTGGAGCCAGTGATGTCTCCTCATTTACAAACTGATGTAATGATGTGGCAGGGTGTGACAATGAAGACATACATAATGCTACTTTTAACTGTTATTTGAGGTTACTTCCAGGCAAAATGAGCTCAATGGCATACGCTGCCATTCTAACCTGAGCCATTTCTGTGGTTTGAGTAAGACAATTCCTGTTAAACCTCATGTCATGTCTTATAATCATTTAATATTAGAACATTTAAAGTGTTTCTTCAAAGGGGTCGCTTCTGAGGAAGGAATCGGAGTTAGAAATCTTAAAAGATTTTAAAATAAGAATTTTTCTAGAGTTTTCTATTACAGGATTTATACTTGTTAGTACTGCTTGTATTTCTTCATCCCAAGCTTGGTTACTCTAACAAAGGCCTGGAAGCATGAGGGTTCTTCATAGTATCTTATCTGTTCCTAGAGCTGCACATTTCTAGACTGAGATGTTTAATGTTTCTCCAGGTATCTGTTGGAGCCACTTCTCCTGTTATGGGGGTTACTGCCCCCAGTGCTCCCATGGCCACAGGCACTACAGTTGTGCAGGAAATGTTTACATAAAAGCCAGAAAAATATCTGCTGCCAGTTAAATAAATAGAAAATGGCAAAGGTAATAAATAAAAATGGAGATCATTACATTGAATTTAGAATGTATAACTTACCAACAACTGACCAAGCCTGATGGAGTTTTTGAGCTAAAATTGTTGACCAACACTGGCAATCAGTGGAATCAGGTGTTTTCAGGAAATGTTCTGTTAGACTTCTGCACCTGTTGACAGGTATGTTGGTTCACTACCTCATTTTTCAGTTTTTTTGTTATTTGAATAGTCTGAATTTATCATTTTCTACAATCTGGGGTAATGTAAACTATTTTTTTAATGTAAAACTGACATTTTGATGGTCCTCACAAGGTATTTTGCTAATGGTTATGTTTGGATGGATGGATGGATGGATGGATGGATGGATGGATGGATGGATGGATGGATGGATGGATGGATGGATGGATGGATGGATGGATGGACGGACGGACGGACGGACGGACGGACGGACGGACGGACGGACGGACGGACGGACGGACGGACGGACGGACGGACGGATGGATGGATGGTTAATTAATTTTAGCAAAAAGTTTGGTGTGGGATGCTTGTATTACTGGGACATTTCCCCCCTGTGAATTTTAATTATATGATATAGGCAAGCTTGATAGACTTTGATATGTTCTGTTGTTTTTATTATTTATTTTTTTAATCATTATTATTATTAATGTATCTCACGGATAACAATAGTCCACTTTAAGCACCTTTCATTTCAGTCTCAGGTCCTCTGCAATGTAATTGTGCCTCATGTGATTTCTTCCTTCACCTCGCCACCCATCAGCCTTCGCAAACTTTCAGAAAGTCACCGGCAGTCTCTGAAAGATTTAATCCTGTCGATCAAATAAATCCTGTAAAAATAAGGCATTTGTTTTATCCTACTGTTAAAAGTGGACTGACGACTTTCATGGTGTGGATATGATGAGATCCGCGCTGAATACCTAAAAAAGGACATGAATGGTCTCTATGTGAACCATTTATTTTCTCATTAATATCCCCAATTCCCAATTTTGGCATCTTTATGTGAAGAAAATACTGTCACCGCCTCCTAAAAATAGTCGCTCGTTTGTTTGCGCGCAGACGTTCAGTGACTCGTGATAATCAATATTAGTGTGATTCACTTTGGCATCAACGTTCTCCAACCTTGCATCAGGAATAGAGCTGATGAATTTCCAATTAGCAGCCTACAGGTGCTGGTCATAAAATTAGAATATCATGAAAAAGTAGATTGATTTCAGTAATTCCATTTAAAAAGTGAAACTTGTATATTATATTCATACATTACATACAAACTCATATATTTCAGATGTTTATTTTGTTTAATTTTGATGATTACAAATGACAACAAATGAAAATCTCAAATTCATCATATCAGAAAATTAGAATATTGTGAAAAGGTTCAAAATTGATGGCCCCTGGTGCCACACTCTAATCAGCTAATTAACTCAAACCACCTGCAAAAGCCTTTAAATGGTCTTTCAGTCTAGTTCTATAGGCTACACAATCATGGGGAAGACTGCTGACTTGACAGTTGTCCAAAAGACGACCATCGACACCTTGCACAAGGAGGGCAAGACACAAAAGGTCATCGCTAAAGAGGCTGGCTGTTCACAGAGCTCAGTGTCCAAGCACATTAATAGAGAGGCGAAGGGAAGGAAAAGATGTGGTCGAAAAAAGTGTACAAGCAAGAGAGATAACCGCACCCTGGAGAGGATTGTGAAACAAAACCCATTCAAAAATGTGGGGGAGATTCACAAAGAGTGGACTGCAGCTGGAGTGAGTGCTTCAAGAACCACCACACACAGACGTATGAAAGACATGGGTTTCTGCTGTCGCATTCCTTGTGTCAAGCCACTCTTGAACCACAGACAGCGTCAGAAGCGTCTTGCCTGGGCTAAAGAGAAACAGGACTGGACTGCTGGTGAGTGGTCCAAAGTCATGTTCTCTGATGAAAGTAAATTTTGCATTTCCTTTGGAAATCAAGGTCCCAGAGTCTGGAGGAAAAGAAGAGAGGCACTTCATCCACGTTGCTTGAAGTCCAGTGTAAAGTTTCCACAGTCAGTGATGGTTTGGGGTGCCATGTCATCTGCTGGTGTTGGTCCATTGTGTTTTCTGAGGTCCAGGGTCAACGCAGCCACATACCAGGAAGTTTTAGAGCACTTCATGCTTCCTGCAGCTGACCAACTTTTTGGAGATGCAGATTTCATTTTCCAACAGGACTTGGCACCTGCACACAGTGCCAAAGCTACCAGTACCTGGTTGAAGGACCATGGTATCCCTGTTCTTAATTGGCCAGCAAACTCTCCTGACCTTAACCCCATAGAAAATCTATGGGGTATTGTGAAGAAGAAGATGCAATACACCAGACCCAACAATTCAGAAGAGCTAAAAGCCACTATTAGAGCAACCTGGGCTATCATAACACCTGAGCAGTGCCACAGACTGATCGACTCCATGCCACGCCGCATTGCTGCAGTAATACAGGCCAAAGGAGGCCCAACTAAATACTGAGTGCTGTACATGCTCATACTTTTCATGTTCATACTTTTCAGTTGGCCAACATTTCTATAAATCCTTTGTTTTTATTGGTCTTCAGTAATATTCTAATTTTCTGATATGATGAATTTGAGATTTTCATTTGTTGTCATTTGTAATCATCAAAATTAAACAAAATAAACATCTGAAATATATGAGTTTGTATGTAATGTATGAATATAATATACAAGTTTCACTTTTTAAATGGAATTTCTGAAATCAATCTACTTTTTCATGATATTCTAATTTTATGACCAGCACCTGTACGCTGCAGAAGACATGGCGTCACAATTAGAGCTGTTCGCCGTTTTAGTGACTAATTGAGTCCTTCCCTCATGTTGCCGTTTCCTTATCATTTATTTACTCGTTCGTTCACCCCTCACATGCAAATCAGGACAGCTTCATCAAAGCCATCATAAATTTAATAAATCACACCAGGTATAGATATCTGCGATGGGAACGGCCAAGGAAATTACAATTTCTTACGTGGCAGGGATTCCCCACCCCTCCGTTTAAATAAAAACCCTGAGATGGAGGCAGAAGCGAATAGTTGATTTTTACCAAGTACCTACAAAGACCTTTTCTTTTCAGAAAAATGAAATACGTTCATCTCTGTAAGTCATTTAGAAGCAAGTGATAAAATAAGCGTTTATATTTTTATTTAAAATAAGGTGTTGGATGTTTTATGCCCAGACAGAAGAACCCGTGTGTTTATTTTTTTTTATTTTGATTCTCTTGCAGGTTTAACCAGCTGTGCGCCGCTGCTGCTGCTGCGTCTGCAGCTGCTCGCCTTCAACTGCGGCTCTTCTACTGCGCTGCCGCTGCCGCTGCAGCTGGGCAAAGAAAAAAACGCACAATGCGCGCAACTCTTCAAGAGCCTCCTTCTGAATGTCACAGAGCTTCTCAAAAGCGTGAGTAAACAATAGTCTATGTAATAATAACCAGCTTTAACTTCTATTAAAAAAATAATACAAATGACTAATAATTTTTTTTTTTCATTTTGTATTGAAGGAAGATTTGTGCTATGGCCTGATGAAATCCACTGAAGTGACACTGAGGAGCGCTGAAACGGTGCAGGCCTGTGTACCTTCTGACGCTCAGGTAAAGAGAAATCTTAAGTTATTAACTACTTTAATTTATTAAATAGTGTATATATATATATATATATATATATATATATATATATATATATATATATATATATATATATATATCAGTGACGTGCGGTGAGGTTCATAGCTGGTGAGGCACTGACGTCATCAGAATCAGATTTGCAAATAGATGCATAGATTGACAGCAGTTTACAGGTTATGTTTCACTTCTGCATCCTTACACATACAAACTGTAGCTCACAAAACACACATTTCCTTAAAAAACAAAACAAAATAAATGTTATTACTGTCTTACCTTTACTTATAAATGAATAGAAGTCCTCCTTATCTTCCTTCAGTTTTAAAAGTCTCTCTGTCTCAATGGAGATCACTGCCAGGGAAGAAAGCCTTCCTTGATCCGTCCTGTTCCTGCCTTATGTTTTCAGTCTCTTGAGCACCCCCTGCCATGAGGCAAGAGAACTGCCTGCCTCACCTCGAACTTGTTCTCTGCCGTTTATAATCGCTCATTACACGAAACACGTTACACAAACACAGTTGGTGACAAAAAGCTCTGTACATTATATACATAAGCCAAATTATTAGAAATAAGTTCACATATTACATTTGTTTAAACCATTTTATTGACGCCGTACAGCAACATGCTCTCTCCGCTTTGCAGCCAGCGCAGAGCCAGGGGTTGCGCAATCCAAGGTGAGGCAGAGCTCGCTGCTGCCTCACCAGCATCGCTTCCAAGCATTTGAATGGGAAAATAAGAAAATTCAGCGATTTTGAACAAATAAAAATCGAAATTGGTGAAGCTACATGAAAAATGAATATTTTTTAGTACAAACCACCGGATGAATATAACAATTTAAATTACTTTATGATTATATATTTTCTTTCTTTCCATGATGGCTGGTGAGGCACTGCCTCACCTGCCTCCCCTGACCGCACGTCACTGATATATATATATATATATATATATATATATATATATATATATATATATATATATATATATATATATATATATATATATATATACACTTATATATATATGTATATTAGATGATCAGTGTGAGAACTACCTAAAAAATCCATAAAATCTGACTTTGTTACATAAAAGAATAGAATGATAAAAATAAACAATTAAAGTAATCCTGTTATTTAGATTAATTTAGTAACAGCAAAGATTAAAGAAACCCAATTACTTTCAGAATCATTTTCTACTGTGGGTATTTGTTTTGACCAGAAATTCAGACTTTACCACAAAAACAAAACCCTAATGTAAAAAACTTGTACTTCCCCACACTGCAGAACTCTGGTTGCGTGATGCTGATAAATTCATCCTTCAATGAGGTATGTTGTTTTTCTACAAGTTGCTTTCAGGATTTAGTTTCTGGACACAGTAAAATGAAAGATCAGGTATGATTTCTTACTTTGTTCTTTCCCCCACTGACAGAGTAAGTGTCTGATGAGCATCATGAAGGATTTGGCCTATTATGATGCTGCTATTGAGACCTACCTGGAGTCCCCACTATATAGGCCAGAGAAGGAGGTTCCACTCCTGAGCCCAACTCTGAGCATCATTCAAAACTTGAGAAAGGTAAGAATAGTTGAAAATATAGTGAGAGAAAAGTGGGAAATTTTGAAATTTGAAGTTGCATGACAAAACATTTTTTCGGTTTGCACAGAACTGTTCTACTATTGTGGAAGAAGGACAAGACTCCTCTAAGGTATTTTTTGGCCCTTCTTTAGTATTTGTTCCTTATTTTAGCCACTGTTTCTGGTTGGGGTTTTTTCCTCTGATCCTTAGAAGGATTAAGATTTTTTAGAATCATTTCTATGGGAATTTCTGTTGTTATAAGGATTTTCATTGTTTTATATTCACACTCTGACTGTTCTATATTTAAGGAAGCAGCCAATTTATGGAAAAATGACTCATACGTAAACCGGCAGAAGATGTGTAAGATGATGAGAGGCTTCCATGTTCGTGCCATCACTATCAATCGAGCCATGGGCTACATCTCCTCTGGGGAGCACAGGAAGTAAAACAAAAAAAACCTGAAGATTCAACAACATCACCATCAATTCTGACAATATCACAGTCTCGCCCCCTCCATAAAATTTACCACAACAAAGCTGTATTTTACTACCATCACACTGAATGTGTGGTGTTTTCCTCCAAGCAAAGCTGCTCAGGCATAAGCTAGCTGTATGGACCCCATTCTTAGGTCCACCAATCTGTTTAAAAGGTTAGTAAAGGTCATGTCAGTCTTATGACAGTAAGTTTTATGAATATGTTTCAGTATTTTCAATATTTATTTATTTATTTATTTAATATGTATTTATTGAAGAATTGTTTGATGACATGTAATGTGTTTTATTTATTTACAGTAAATTATTTGTTTCTACAAATGTTACAAAAGTTACAGTGTTGTTGTAATAAAATGTCACCTGAACTACAAAAATAAAATATCTAATAAGCTAATTTTCTTTAAGTTTATTTGCATATTTCTTCAAGCTGAAGATTTCTGAATTAATCGTGATTAATCGATTATTGAAATAATCGTGAACTAATTTAGTAATCGATTGCCAAATTACGTATACAGACTGTAAAACATGCTTTCAGCCTTAAGGAACCTTTGACAATCTGATTATTAATCAATTAATCGAAAACATAATTAACAAATTAATCGATTTGCCAAATAACCGTGGCAGCCCTAGTGGATTCTATTGTCAATTCTAATGTCCCCAGAACTATAAAAAGATATATATTTCCACATGAATACTTATTTTTGTTTTGCTTTGCTTTCTTTGTATGTTTTGTGTTTAGTTAGTTTTTTGCTTTTTCTATCAACCTATAATTTCTCAATTGATACAATTTTAACTCCAAGCAAAGATAACTTGAGAAAATAAAAGCTGCCATTTTTCAAATAGTGGTTTATTTTCACAGGGTTTTAGAGCCATTTAAACCAAGCTGGCCCAGGTGAAAAAGTGTAACAGCACCCTGACCGCTTGCTGACTAAATAAGGAACAAATACGTAAATATCCCCAAACTGTTCATTGGGACCTTCCATTATAGCCTTTGTGTCTCTCATTAATAATCAGATTTTTATAATCCATTATATTATTCTTTTTGTTTAATCTGGTTGTAGAGTTTCTCAATTTTCAGTATATCTGTCAATTTGACTTATAAGAGATAATCACTATTTCTTTGCATCATCACTTTGCAGTCTTTAACTTCAGTAGCAATCCAGCAAACTCTTCTTACCAATTGTTCTCATCATAAGAGGAGCATGTTTATCATTTATTTTTAAAACAGCTTGTTAAAAGTTTCAACTATATCATCTGGATTAGTTTACATTCATGCATTACCCAAACTACCTTTGTTTGTCTTCAATAAAATCATCCTGATTAAATGTGTGATCTTTGTTATGTCCACTATTGGCAACTCCAGCTTTCTTCACCATTGCTTTTAAGTTATAATTACTACAGCCTACTTGGATCAATATTGCTTTGGTACGGACTGTCACAGTTTGTACAGACTGCCCATCACCTCTAGAACATATCTGAGTTGGTTTAGTCAAAACTTGCATAAGCCCTCTTGCTTAGGTATGGTGTAAAGCTTATTCCTTAAAACACAGAGCAGTATACAGTATTTCAGTCTACACAGGTCCCCCATAATAAAGAGTTCTTTCTCACATACACTGCCTATCATATGACATGCATTATCTAGGTAAGCAAATGTGCACAAGCTGGATCGGAATAAGAATAAATCAGAAAAAGCTTTTTGTGGAATGTGAACCTGAAGCCATATGCCTGCCGTATCAGTAAACATTATATCTATTATTAATTTTACTGTTATTTTCCCTTGTAATTAGATAGCAACCTTGCCACCTCTTGTATGTCTGCCTCTCCAATATGTGTGCTGTAAAATAATGAGGAGTCTTCAAATGGAATCCAGATGAGTCTCAGATATTTCCAATATATGGTGATTATCTTGTACAATATTAGAGCAGTAGATTACATTATTTCCATGGCTACAGCTATAGATGAGTAAGCTTTAGTCCCCGCTTAGCTGGCTTTGTAATAGTCGCAATTGACTAGAGCACAACTTAAAAAACTTTCTATATTACAAAAAATAAAACAGGCCAACACAGTCAAAACACCACCCATTCACACCCTAAAGCTGCATTCAGACTGAGCATGGTGCGCAGCTAGGGGGTGGACTTACAGAGTATCCTTATGCAAACTGCACAGCACTGGTGAATCCCATGAGGTGACACTGTTCACTGCTCCGAGCTCACCTTGTGCTACTAGATAGAAGTGATGTTTTGTCTTACAGCGGCTATACATAGAGCGGAGCAGTGACCTCTGACGTTTAAAAATGTGAACTTTTCTATGAAAGGGCGTCAGGGCAACCAATCAGTGACTGGCTGTATTTTAGACATCTTAAAAAAAAAAGTAGTTAATTTAGTCCTAGTCCTTGTTCATCATCCTCCCTTACCCCAACATAGACCCTGGTCTGTCGCTGCCCACTCCCAGCATTGGTGCACTCTGCATGGGTAGAGAATCAAAGTGGAGTCTGTTTTCAGTGCTTCAGGGGCAAAAATGTATAGACTCTCCAGGCTGAATCAGATGTTATGCAAATAGAACAATTAAGTAGATGTCTGTAATGTTAAAGTCCCGTATAATACAAAATTCAATTTTGTAACTGTCATATGTGTCCTGCAGACTGTGTGTGAGCTTCATAAAATATGAAAAAAATCCTTTCACCTCTATCATTTCTTTTCTCCACCTCTTAGCTAATGTTTGCTCAAAATGGTGTGTTTGAAAATTGTTCCCCTTATGATGTCATAAGGGGAGCAACCCGTGTCCTCTAGGGAGTGGGTACAGGGTTGTGCATGTTGGGTTTTTTAAAGCGGAGAGGGTGGGCCTTTTCAAACATCAGTGAAAATCCTCCACTATATCTTTAAGATTTAAATCCTAAGTGTAGAATTTGCTTTTGTTTGTTTCTATTGTTGTTGTTGTTTTTTTTAAGGAAAGCTCTATTGAAGAAGAAAATTTGCCAAAAAGATATGCATGTGTAGTAGGATGCCAGATCACATTAACTCAGAGCTGCCAATCTGTGAAAAGATTTAGGTTTACAGAAAAAAAAGACAAGTAATTAAAACACAAATCATACTATAGGATATGCTCGAGCTCCAAACAGAAAGGAAGTATCAGCAGCATAGAATAACATTTGTTTTTATATTTATACACTCCAAATTAAACAGGAATCGTTTTGAGTTTTCATTTAGAACATTATTTAAAACTTTCTATAAGAAACAGAATCCGTATTAAACACCTAACAGAATAAATGTAAATAAAATTCCATTTTATTCATCCATTTTATTCCTTTTAACAGTTTACATTACTGCTAAATTCTTAGGAGGGATTCAGACCTAAAAAAAAAAAAAAAGAGAACAAATGAGAACATCAGCTGTAACTTCTTTAAAGGTGCCTCTCTGAATGTATGCATAATATCTCCAAAATGGAAGACAACAAAAAAAAATAAAAGAAAATCAGAAATACAGCTGCTTTACCTGTTCTCTTTAAGTGAAGAACATTAATATTTCAAGTCATGTAACTAAGAAACGTTACAGTCAAGTCTTTTTTTCTGGTCATAGTGGTTTTAAATCTATGGAACTAATTTCTAAAAGCGGATTTAGAAAAAAAATATTTACAGGTTTCAGCTGCCCACACAGCCAGAAAACTAAAGCCCAGCCTTAACATAGAAAGATATGTACAGAACCCATCTGGAAAAAACAGATTATTTTGAACTTTACAAACAGAATATGAAGACAAGAGGAATAGTCCTGAACTACATTTAAACTTAAGCTTTCTGAAATTATGTTTTTCATGATGGTCATAGAAAACAAAATAAGTCCAACAGATATACAGTCAAAACTGATGTAGAAAAATAAAACACAACTCTACAAAAAGGTATTTGTAAAAAGTATTACAAAATCATATGTACAGGAAAAGATGTACAAGAGTATAAAAGCTTAATAAATCTTACACAGACACACAGATCCGTTCTAATGCCTGATTTCACAAAGTTTTACTGAAACATTAAATTTTTTCCTGATTTTTGCAGTTGCTGCACTACATCACCAACATGTTTATTTATTACTGGCTACATTATTGGCTACCGAACATGTGACCTCTGAGTGATGCTTTCAAAGCTTTACATAAAGACATCTTAATGTGTCTGTAGTCTTTACAGAAAACAAAGTCCCTCATCTGAATGTTTTACATTCAGATTTAAAAACTCAAGTCTAGAAAACAAATGGGGGAAAACTAAAATTTGGTCCACAGGTCAACACTGCACATCCATGAACCTTGGTGCATCCATTTGATGGCGCAACAAGTGTTTGAGTTTGTCTGCTTTATTTAGCAGCTTGGGTCTCCATCATGCCTGAAAACAGAGAACAACAGAGTAATCATTTAGTAAAGCTATATAATAGGGTTTTTATTTTTATATCAACATAGCCTTTCAAATGTTTTCACGTCTACTAAACCTTTCCACAAAATAGCAAATATTCTTTGGGGGAATAAAAGGGATTAATATTTTTTTTTTTATTCCAAAGCATAAATTAGTTTTAGTCCAGTCTACTTGGATATCCTTTAATAAAATCCAGCTCAGCTGCTTGCATTGAAAACTCACCAAAAATATTTGTGTGGGAAATTTTATCAAAGTATAAATATAGATGTTCTTTGAAATAATGCAATTAACAAATCCTTTATGAAGGAACAACAGGAAGGAGACTTTTCAAAAGTCATGTTTATTCTTTGCCATAAGCCATGTAGGGGCAGAATGGATGAAACTGAATGAGATTCCTGGAAGCAGTGAAGAGGTTTTAACTTACAACCAAAGCTCTGGGGAAACAGTTCAGATTAAACCGTCTAGATCAAGTCGAACCTAAATGCAGTTTGTGGCACATGGTTTGGGTTTATTTCTTTGTATCTTTTAACTTCAAAAGCCTCTTGAAATATTCTAAATTTCCTTTCTTTAATAGTTCTCCTTGCTTTCTTTTACTCATTTTTTTAATACACAAATCCTTCTACAACCTGCAATGTAAAACTTCCTGATTCTAACCTCTGGATTATCTGGTGTCTGATCTCCTTATTGATCATCTGCACTGATACAACAGATCAGTCCTGCCTAAAGCTATCAATCCTTTCAACCAGTGGTTGGATAAAAAAAAAAAAAGTTTATGAATTACTATAACATTTCATTTCCTTTTGGAATTACTACTGTATTTTTTTTTTTATTGAATTGAATAGATTTTTAAGGTGTGTGAGTGTGTGTATAATAGGTATATGTTACCTATATAGGACTGTTTTTGGTATATTTGAGAACCTTTTGAGGACCAACAGGCTTTATGGAGACCAAAGGCTGGGCCTAATGTGGCAGAGCCCCATTTTTTAGGGTCAGGCCAATTTATGCTTCTGACGCAAAGCCTCTGCAAACCATCAAATCTGTCTCTGTGCGTGACCACGCCCCCCCCCGCATAGAGGTTCTGCAATCGTTGTCGTGCACCTCACAAAAATCATGACTACGCGTCAGACGGTCACAAACCCACGCAGACAAGCAGAGGTGTGCAGACAAAAAGCAGCTGTGATTGGTCCTTGGTATGCCTTTCCGGCTGTCTGTGTGGTCGTCCCTGACGATTTGATGCCGAGACGCGCCATTTTTAAAAACCGAGGAACAACGGACAACTACGACAAAACGCTAATAGAGGAGGTTCGGAAGTACAACCAGTTGTACGATTTGTCAGATAAATCATCTAAATCAGCGGTCCCCAACCACCGGGCCGTGGACCGGTACCGGTCCGTTGGTCATTTGGTAGCGGGCCGCACAGAAAAAAAAAAAATAAATAAAATTTTTTATTTTGAAAAATATAATAAATTGCGGTATTCTCTCTCAGTTACATCAGTCGGTGCATCTGTGCCTCTTGAAACAGGTTAATTAAGTTCAAGACTCATCCTATCTATAACGTCCTATCTTTGTGAAGCAGGATTTTCTGCAGTTACAGCGACCAAAACAAAGCTACGGAGCAGACTGGACATCAGGAGCGCACTTCGTGTGTCATTGTCTCCGATTACGATAGGACCGGCTTATTGTTGTATTTTTATGTTGTTTGTATTTGATTTTATGCCAGTCATATCATTTGACTTTATCGTATTTACCCCCCCGCGGGGGGGGAGGTGGTTGAATAAATACCATCAAGTAAAAAACGGTCCCGTCCCTGGTGCATAAAAGGTTGGGGACTGCTGATCTAAATAAATATATCCTCTTTGATGTCAATTCTAGATCCATCTACATGACTGTGATTTCTTGCAGACGTGCCATTGTTGTTTTGGAAGATAAACACTCCTGCTGGCGCTGCTGAAGATCTCGCGAGTTCTCGAATAGGCTCCCCCTAGCGCTTTGGCAGGAAACTGCTGTGTGTCCCTAGAAATTACAGACCGACATTGCAGAAGCATACCAGCAAAACTGGTTCAATGCAGTGACTAAAATGAATGTAATTTAATGTATAGCCTCAATACAAACTTGTGGGTATGTGTGGGTGTGAATATGTGTGGCCATGTCTTTGTTACCTGCTGGGGACAATTTCCCAAGAATATGCTACATTTTGGGGACTCATAGTTACTTGTTCGGACCAACGTCTGGACTAGTCAAGTAGTAGAAAATCGATGGAAGGATGGATTTTCTCGCTATCTAAGTCACAAAAAGCATCTTTTTTACAATTTCTTTGTACAATTTCTTAATTTTTTTTTTCTATTTCTTCTTCAATAGTTTCAGCACATACTGCATAACGTGCTATGATAGCCAGATACTGGACTGGACAGAAAGTGAGAGAAGAAGCATCACAATTCAAAGACCTTCAGGAGATTTAAAGAACTATTGGTTAGGAACACTTTGCAATTTGAAAATAGTATAACAACAAAAAAATAAGAGTGGCGTGGGTTACTTTTTTCAATCATACCTTTCAGCAGTTGGCAAACCTCGCTGGGCAAGAAGTCCAAATCCTTTAAACTCTCCCAAAGGTGGTAAGCAGTTGCCTTTCCAGAATGCCTTTTCTTCCACTCCACCAGCATTTTCAGCTTCTGTATGTAAACACACTTTTCTATTACCTGGATGTCGTCCAGATCCTTGGACTCCAAGTCCAGAAAGATGGCCACCTGTTTCCATTCTGAACCAAGTTGACGGGCGACCTGCATCAGCTGCTTATCTGACAAGTCACTCTGAGTCTTCCCTGTTTTTAATCCATCTGGAGCAAAAGACAAAATGGTACATACACTTTATTTTAACCTTAAATATGGACAAGATTCTGGAATCTTTAATAACATTGTTGTGCTTACATTCGAGTAATAAGAGGTAGAATGTAACTCTTTATTTTTTTAGATAAAGTATAAGGTCTTAACAACTGACCACCAAAAGGTGTAACTGCTACTACCAGCTATTTTTCTTTAGCAAAAAAATGACTCTTTTTTTTTTTTCTGGTTGCTTTTTCTTCTAAGAACCACAACTGGTTTGAGCGGCACACTGAGCTCTGCTTCCTGGTAAAGAAGAGTTCTCCTTTTTACATGCATCTCACTACGAAGTTAAAACCTTGCTGCAATCAATTGTCTTACGGTGTTACATGTCTGTTCAGAAAAACAGATCACTGCATGGTCACTCAAGAAAATGAGCTGCTTCCTTCTACGCAAAACTTTGATAATCATCTTGACTTAAAGGTATAGAGGACAATGTTTTATTTCCGGGTGGATCATCTGAATAAGTTGTCCTCCTAATTGTCAATCATTCTGGTGATATGTTTACATAAGGCAGTCCTACGTGCTTGTCCCATTAAGCTATCTTTTCCTGCGCATGTGCACTTTCAGGCGTTGTCTTTGTTTCGGACACAGTAAGCTTGTGTGAGCAATGAGAACAGCAACTTTTAAACAGTGTGCAAAAGGAGAAATGGGCTTGTGCACGCTCTCGCACCTGTATTGGCGTTCCCCTCTCGTGAGCGGGTACAGGGTTGTGCATGTGCTTTTTTTTTTAAAGTGGAAAGGGCAGGTCTTTTAAAATATTTGTGAAAATTCTCTTCAGTCCCTTTGAGTGATTATTTATTCCTGTATCTAAGTCACATCTGAGGAGACATCTGTTGTGTGTTGCACTACGTTTAATGGAATTCATTTAATTTATTGGAGATGAACAAATAAGCATATTGACCTGACTCATCCTGCCATCTAGGTCTTTTACAGCCGGTTTCCTCCTCTGAGGCACTGCTGCTTCTTTGTCTGCCGGCTGGAAGAGAGAGATCGATATAATGTGAGTCACACTGCAGAGGCCAAAAACATGAAGGAATTTTTTTTTCTCACTGAAAACTGAAAAAGAAGCTCACAGTTTTTCCTTTTCTTGGGCTTTTTTTCTGAGTCGTCGACACAGTCGCCTGAAATAGTAAAGGATAAAAAAAAAAAAAAAAAATAGGTAATAAGGAAAAATATTCAAAAAACAACAAGAAAGCAGACAGATGAGACCGACACAAAAAAGTAGCACAGGAACCAATATTTCACATATTGAATGCGGTCAGAAACAGCCAATAGATTAAACATGAATAACCTGCGTTTAACCTAATCCATTACGGATTGCTATCACAGTCAAAATAAAAACCCCTTAGTGCTCCACCTGCTAAGATACCAAATGGAAAAAGTAAATTTAGCTTTTATTCTGCCATTTAGCAACTAACATTTTCAATTTCAGAAAAACCTCCTATGGATTATATATGATTTATATCCTTAAAAAATTTGAAAAAATATGGAAATTGAATATTATAGGTGCTGGTCATAAAATTAGAATATCATGAAAAAGTAGATTGATTTCAGTAATTCCATTTAAAAAGTGAAACTTGTATATTATATTCATACATTACATACAAACTCATATATTTCAGATGTTTATTTTGTTTAATTTTGATGATTACAAATGACAACAAATGAAAATCTCAAATTCATCATATCAGAAAATTAGAATATTGTGAAAAGGTTCAAAATTGATGGCCCCTGGTGCCACACTCTAATCAGCTAATTAACTCAAACCACCTGCAAAAGCCTTTAAATGGTCTTTCAGTCTAGTTCTATAGGCTACACAATCATGGGGAAGACTGCTGACTTGACAGTTGTCCAAAAGACGACCATCGACACCTTGCACAAGGAGGGCAAGACACAAAAGGTCATCGCTAAAGAGGCTGGCTGTTCACAGAGCTCAGTGTCCAAGCACATTAATAGAGAGGCGAAGGGAAGGAAAAGATGTGGTCGAAAAAAGTGTACAAGCAAGAGAGATAACCGCACCCTGGAGAGGATTGTGAAACAAAACCCATTCAAAAATGTGGGGGAGATTCACAAAGAGTGGACTGCAGCTGGAGTGAGTGCTTCAAGAACCACCACACACAGACGTATGAAAGACATGGGTTTCTGCTGTCGCATTCCTTGTGTCAAGCCACTCTTGAACCACAGACAGCGTCAGAAGCGTCTTGCCTGGGCTAAAGAGAAACAGGACTGGACTGCTGGTGAGTGGTCCAAAGTCATGTTCTCTGATGAAAGTAAATAATGCATTTCCTTTGGAAATCAAGGTCCCAGAGTCTGGAGGAAAAGAAGAGAGGCACTTCATCCACGTTGCTTGAAGTCCAGTGTAAAGTTTCCACAGTCAGTGATGGTTTGGGGTGCCATGTCATCTGCTGGTGTTGGTCCATTGTGTTTTCTGAGGTCCAGGGTCAACGCAGCCACATACCAGGAAGTTTTAGAGCACTTCATGCTTCCTGCAGCTGACCAACTTTTTGGAGATGCAGATTTCATTTTCCAACAGGACTTGGCACCTGCACACAGTGCCAAAGCTACCAGTACCTGGTTGAAGGACCATGGTATCCCTGTTCTTAATTGGCCAGCAAACTCTCCTGACCTTAACCCCATAGAAAATCTATGGGGTATTGTGAAGAAGAAGATGCAATACACCAGACCCAACAATTCAGAAGAGCTAAAAGCCACTATTAGAGCAACCTGGGCTATCATAACACCTGAGCAGTGCCACAGACTGATCGACTCCATGCCACGCCGCATTGCTGCAGTAATACAGGCCAAAGGAGGCCCAACTAAATACTGAGTGCTGTACATGCTCATACTTTTCATGTTCATACTTTTCAGTTGGCCAACATTTCTATAAATCCTTTGTTTTTATTGGTCTTCAGTAATATTCTAATTTTCTGATATGATGAATTTGAGATTTTCATTTGTTGTCATTTGTAATCATCAAAATTAAACAAAATAAACATCTGAAATATATGAGTTTGTATGAAATGTATGAATATAATATACAAGTTTCACTTTTTAAATGGAATTACTGAAATCAATCTACTTTTTCATGATATTCTAATTTTATGACCAGCACCTGTACTTAGATTATTAATACAACACTTTAAACCACTATTCACATAATTAAATAGATATTTTAACTAATCTTCATCATAATGGGGCACTAAACGCACTGGTACCTTCTCTGATGGTGGCAGACCAGACAGTTTCATCCGTGTTAATCTCTATTAGAGATAATTTAAAAGGAGGCCTCTCCTCAAAGAAGGCTTCAAAGTAGCCTTTCATCTTGGTGACAGCGAGTGTGAACTTCAGCACCTGGAAGGACATAGAAACATGTTTTAAGTTCTGCGAGTCCCTAAAGCATAAAGGTTTTTTTCAGGTTAATAAAGTAATGATTATTTTCTGCTTTGCAATCAAGATGCTCCAGATAATAAACAGAGAGACCTTCATAAAGTCTGCAGAAATGTTCATCAAAAAGAATAAAAAAATCAAATCAGATCATATTTGCGCATTATTTATCAATCTCAAAAAAAAAAAAGAAAGAAAAATCTGGAAAACAGGGATCCAACACTAAATGTGCATAGAAAACATATTAGAGCAAATTTAAGCTTTTAATCTGATTTAAGACTAATATGTACCAAAACACTATTGATGTTTCAGATTTAGATTTTTTTTTGTGTGTGCATAATTTTAATATATTTCACCTGATTTAAATCTCTTCAGAAAGGAAAATTTGGGTTCAAAAGAAGAAGATCTTAGTTTTTTGAAGTCTCATGAGATGCCTTACTGTAAAAGCTAAATATTTTACTTTGGCCTGGGTCTGCAGTCATCTCACAACAAACCGAACTAGGTGTCTGCACAGGCCGTTCATCCACTCTTTGTTTCAGTTCCTCACTGATAAGGACATTTCTTCAAAAATCGCCTGAACATGATGCTTTGAAAGGGAGCTGTCTTATCAAGCCCATATTCAAAGAAATATCAGATCAATTAAAAGAAAAATTAGAAACACAGAAAGAAAAAATCTTTTCAAGAGGTTATGGGGAAATGGGTCAATATCACAATCCTAATCTATGCTTCTCTTTTGTATTCAGTGCTTTAAATACAATAAAGTTAGTTTTATTCTGAGAGACCATGCAGTGCATCTGCTGTGTGCACACTGCATCACACTTGTTACACAATCTAATCCATTAGTTAAAGTTGGTACATTGGTCCTACATTCAGTGCCTGGATCCAACAGTTCATAACAACATTAAAAGAACACACAGAATAGAGGGTCAATCAGAGGTTCTACAGATAACTCAGCTGCTCTCCAGCTTGCAACAAACCACAGGCCATCAGCAGGTTTAGCTTGATGAAATTCAGGTTTTTTGGGGGGGTTTTCTATGGTAGCCGCATAGTGACACAAACATTGCATGTATTGACTGGATAAAAGCAAACTTTAGCTTAGTCTACAGTTTTTGTTAAACATTTCTTCAAAGGCTTTATGAGAAGAGCAAACTTGAAGGTTCATTTGTAATATCTGGAACATTTTTACTAAACTACGTGACTGAAAAAGTTGGTACTTTCCTCAAATACTATAGAATTCACCATGGTAAAAGGATTTATTATTTAAAAAAGGCCTACAGACTAGATATTTTTGGTTGGGAAAACCTGATAAAAACTTGATAATAAAAAACTAAAGTGTCAATAATGATTCATCACAAGAAATATTCAGACTCATTGGAGGTCAAATAATAAGAGTTTGTAAAACTTTAGTTTGTAAGAAATGTATTTTTACTATATACAGTGTGATTTAATCAAAATGAAGCCCGACATCCGTAAGCAGGGAGACACACCTCAGGTTTGATCTCCCCCTCCGGCTCGCTCACGAGGCGATACGTCCCCTCTTCCAATTTACACGTGGGAGGCTTATCAATCTTGATGTATCGATTCTTGTAACCCCGGAGTTGTTTGGCTACATCCTGCATGACAGCAGCAGAAAGCAGATAAAGGGCTTTTTAGCAGCAATAGGCAAGATAAAAATGACCACAAAGAAGGTTAAATGCATGGAAAAGTTCAAGTCCAGTGCACAAACACATCATGAGAGATGAGAAACCACAGAAAAACTTAACATAGATTTAAAGAACTGGCATTTTTCATGTAGTGTGATTATTCACCAGCTGGATCCTCCCAGACCCACATGTCACGCAACCACATTCACACTTCCCAAATGACTGTTTATCGTCATACAGCAGTCAGAGGTGTGTGGTGTACTTCAAAGTTTTTTGTTATAAATATAGATTGACTTAACTAGTCCTAACCTCCTGCTCAACTTTACTGTCAAACAGGATGTTATTTGAAGCAAACAAAAGCACAGGTGACTGTTTTACACAAGGCTGGGGATGGAGTGCATGACTAGAACAAAGCCACAGTGGCCACAGAGAAGAACAAAAGTGAGAGTTGCCTTCAGCTCAGAGTCTGTTCTTTTGGTTTCCAGGCACATTTTCAAAGGTGCGGCATTTTGCTGTAGTTTTATCCATGAGTTGATCAAAAAAGTTAAGAGTTGACTTTTCTCGCTGTAAAGGTGTTTTTTTTTCTACTCCCATTTTGTTTCCGCTTTCACAAACATTTAAAAGAATTCTCTACCCGAACTCTAACATGAACCTTAAGAAAATGTACAAAAACTGCAAATGATTTTAACTCTAAATAAATGTCTAAAAGTGAATATATACCTTCTTTACAAAGAGATTTATACTGATTAAGCCTTTACTCATTTAGTCCTATTAAAACAACAAACTATGTTTATTGTGTCAGTATGTGATAAACCTGGAATAAATGGCTCACAACTGTAAAGTGGGAGGAAAGTGATGCATCTTCTTAAAAATACAGTAATTAGAGTCTTTAGTCGGCCACTAATTGGTCAAGTTCTCCTTTGAAAGATGACAGAAGTCAGTAGTTTTCATCATAGGTTCACTTCGAGGAAAAATAAAAAAAAATAGGAAATCATAAAGAATTTATTTGTAAGTTATGGTGAGAAATAAGTGATTCATAACTAAAGTTCAACTCAATACTTTGTAGCACAACCTTTTTGGTGTTGACAGAGGTCAAATGCTTCCTGTAAGTTTTGCTCACTCTGTAGCTGGTATTTTGGCCCATTCCTCCATGCTAATCTCCTCTAGAGCAGTAACATTTTGCTGCTATTGGTGGGCAACACAGACTTTCAGCTCCTTCTAAAGATTTTCTTTGCGGTTGAGTTCTGGAGACTGGTTAGGGCACTTCGGGACTTTAAAATGTAAATGATGTTTGGGACCATTGCCACGCTGGAGGAACCAACCAAGTCCTATTTTCAATGCTTGGACATTTTGGCCTAAAATCAATCCATACTTTGCTCTTTTCATGTTTTCCTCAACATGGATTAGCTTTCATATCCGCTCTGCAGATAAACAGCCCCACAGCATGATGTTTCCATCACCGTGCTTCCCAATAGGCATCATGTGGTCAGATGGTTTCATCCTGGATCATCCATATTGTCTCTGGGTAAACAGATGGACCTGTGTTTGATAGAGACGGGGGAGCGCCTGGTATTACAGGATTGGAGTCCACTTTGGCATACCATGTTACTGATGGCAGCCTTTGCTGCTTCGGTCCAAGTTCTCTGCAGGTCGTTCATTGGGTCCCTCAGTGTAGTTTTAGGATGTTTACTCACTGTTCTCATGTTTATGTTGACTCCACGGGATGATATCTTGTGTGTCTTCTATTTACTCCAATTGTTACCAAAGTGTATTCACATCTGCTCTTTGGTCTTGGTCATGTTTGAGTTTGAAGTCTGAATGTTTGAGGCTGTGGGCAGGTTTCTTTCATGGAGATCACAAATTCAAACAAGTTCCATTAATACGGGAAACAGGGCAAGGACAGAGGAAGAAGCTACAGGTCTGCGAGGGGAACGAAATCTTTGTAGATGACCAAATTCTCATTTCCACCACAATTTTAAAATAAATTCTTTAAAATCCCACAATAGCATATCCTTGATTTTTCTTCACATTTTGTCTTTCATAGTAAAAATGTACCTATGATTGAAATTAAAGACCTTTCTAATCATTATAAATGGAAGTAGGACCATCAATAACAACCTGTAATTGAGTCTCAGTAAAAGAACTACTGATATTTAAAGTTACTGAACAGTTAATGACGCCTTGTGTGGCAAAACACTTACAGCACACATCACTCTGAATCTACCATCCCCACAGTGAAACATGGTGGTAGCAGTATTATGGTGTGTGGAAGCTGATCATATTGATGTGATGAATGGAGGTAAATTAAAAAAGAAAAACAGAAATAATCTGTCTGTTTTACTTGATACTTAAAATTTACAGAAATGTCCATCCCATTTGTTTTTCTCTTATAGATAGCATTGGAGAATCTTCCATAGCAAACTGAAGAGCTGTATTTACTGAAATAAAATCACAGACAGGTGGACTCATTTACTAATTTGGGTGACTTTTTAAGGGTTGCATGGAATTTTAAGGGCCGGCAATGCTTTTTGAGCATAATTCTAACAGTGTTTGCACCTGTCAAAGAAACATTTATTAAAATATTATATATCATATTATATTGTATTGTATTATATTATACTATAGTTTTATATTATTATAATACTTTTTTAGCTATCATAACTGAATGTTTGTTGGTTGGTTTTTGTATTCCTGTTATGAATCATTTAAATATATATTGGGGGGGCTGTTTGTTAACAGAGCCCACTCATCAGGTACTGAAATATGAATAAAACAGGAACCTGAAACTACACAATGATTAAAACACCTGATCTAATCTCCAAACCAGTTTTGTTTTACAGCCACAAGCTACAGCTAAAAACAGAACAGCTACAGTTTCAATGACACATTTACAAACTCTCTTCATGGGTAGGAATTTCAGTCACTGAGATTTACTTGAACTGAGTTTATTCCCCAGGTGAACTTATAATAAAATTAGTGCCACAAAACAACTTCACTGAGTTGATTTTAACCCCTGAACTGCCATGGTGACAAGGATGTCCTCACTGAATGAATCTGTGACTTTTAAGCAGGGCTTTTTTATGCTAAATATCTAAAAAACGATTCTCAATAAAACAAACACCAAGCTTTTGCAAATACTTAAAACGGATCAAGAATTGCATCCAATTGAATTTGGGTATGCTTTTTTTTTTTTTTAGTTTTTTGTTAATTTAATAGATTAAATATATGTTTGGGATCATTGTTTTGTTAAAGCAAGTATTTCTCTCCAAATGGCCCAAACTGCTCACCTTAGAATAAACAAAATTAATTAAAAGAATAAAAATTTATGTACCGGTACTAGAAATCCCTATAGACTGAGAGGATGGCAGCCAAGAGAGGCCTCTGGCCCAAATAGAAACTTTCTATCTTGATTGATATGTGATAAATATCTTCTAAAAAACAGTTTACTGTTGACAAAGACTGGGCACTTTGGTCACAATTATAAAAACAACTACTTCAGTTTAAACTTTCAAAGCTTCAAATCCTATACCAATGTAAGAACATGGCAGTGCTAGGGTCAATGGAGTAAATAAGAAGCAGAACTACCAACAAAATCTTAAATTTCACCTGAAACTAGCAGTGATAGATCTGGACACCATCATGAAAGCCACAGCAAACAAATCATAAACATGATTAAGTGGTATATCAGGTGCACCACTTATCTCTCTGCATTTCTGCTTTTCAGCCTAGGAACAGACAAAAGCCTGTGGAAAATATTAGTGATTATGTAATCATACATTAAAGGGTTGAATCAGAGCTTTTTTTAAAAGCCTTGACCTCAACTGAAAACTGATTACCTAAATCTGGGTCTGTGCTACACCAACACAGTCTTTTGTTGCATTACCGTATCACAGGGAAGAAAAGATTAGTTAAATTTAACATAGAAATACCAGAACCGATGAGACATTTATTCCAATGGTAAGAATATATAGATCTCTCACTGGAACACAAACTCTGCTGCCTGGAAAAACTCCCACAAAATACCTTACTTTCCATACCACAGATGACTGATATTGAGGTGCATAGTGCTTACTTTAATGTCAGATGCACTATTTGTTGCCATGTAGACATGGAAGCTGTAGTTGTCGGTGTCACTAAGCTGCTTGTAGACCAGAACCACCCCGTGGTGCTCTACAGATCCCGTCTTCTGAATGATGGGGCCAACCGGCGACAGGGAGGTCACTTTCCACTTCACGTGGCTTCCTGAGTGGTCTGCGGTCGGCTCGATGAGCGGACGGTCGTGCTTAATGTGTAGGACGCTGAATTTCAAGTCTTCCTCTGGATCTTTCAGAACAGATCAATTTTATTTTAAACTGTGCTCATTTTTAAGCATATCAATCACAGACTGAGAGAGTGCATGGATGGTCTTACGGGCTAAGCAGATGGAGTGGGGGAACTGGATAGACGTAAGGACGGACGCGTCCTTGTTGACCGTGTCCACGTTGAAGATTGGTCCAGCGAATTTCCAGGAGTTCGGCAATAAAGAGTCAAATTTGGACCAAGATAGGATGGAGTACCGCACCAGAACCTGCTCGCTCGCTTCAAAAACCAGACCAGTAACTGAGCACTCATATGTGCCTTCGCCTTCAAGCTGCAACCTAAAGAACACAGAACGAGAAGCATTTAGCGAGGAGTAGAAATCTGCAGCAGAAACACTGTCTCACTGTTTTACTCACTGGAAACGTCCCTTTGACATCCTCTGAGGAGAAACCAGCTCTGTCCCATGGGTCTGTAAAGAACACACAAAACCTACTTTGTTGCATAATCATCACAGAGTAAAAAGCAGTACCACAAAGAGGAAATAAAATTCTATCTATCTCTAAATTGCAATTCTGATTAAAAGTATTTGGCTCTTACATATTTCTTCAGTAGCTCCTTTGTTGATCTTGCTGATAATAATAAACTTTAATATCAAACAAAAAATAAAGCTTAAAAACCTGAGCAATTACAAAAGTGGTTAGACCATCTGTAAAAACTATATACGGTAACTCCCCTCTTATTAAGTCATAAATTAACTTGAATTAACAACTGGTAAAACCTGAAAATCAGGAAATAACTTGAATAGAATCTTATTGGTAACCTTAAAGAAGAATAAAGATCTCAAAAAGTCAAGAAGTCCAAAAACAGATATGAAACAGTCAGTAAATCAATAAGCCTGGAAACAGTCATGAGGTTTCCACAGTGAATCCAAGTGAATACCACTGAGAGACATAAATAAATAAATAAAAAGCAGAACCTTGAAGCTTCCTAAGATTGGATAAACAACCTAAACCACTTAAAATAGGCATTGATGGACCTGCTATTAAACATATTTTCCTTCTGCAGAAGCTTTGTAAATCCTTTATACACGAGCATGCCCATGCATACCTACCACAGGAGTTTGGTTCCAAGTATTAATGGTTACACACTAAATACTAAGCTGCAGATACAGATACTGTATAAACCACCCTGAAGATTTTGCTTTCCACACACAGGGATATCTAAGTGATACCTGCTGCTCTTTTTTCATGTTTACTTTGGGTTTCTGTTGTTTTTGCTGTTTTTAGGTTCTCTGTTTTCTTTCCTTCTCGTTTCATGCAGGTGTGGAAGCAGTCTAGGAGTTACTGTATACCCTCTTTATTGTCTATTTTTGCTGTTTAGTTTCATTTTCTCAGCTTTCTGTCTCTGTCTCCATGTCTGCTGCATACGATTTTATTCCACAAATAATTTTCAATAAAGTTTCACATACATGTACCAAGCAGAATGGTCTGCTTGCGAAAGCAAAGCTGTTGGGCTCTCATCTAGTTCTGGGACATCTATTCCCAGACAAAAGTGGAGCTTTATGACAGGAGGGAGTCTTGTTACATCCTGTTATAGTGATCTCTTTCAGAGTGGAAATCTTGCTCTCTACTAAAAAAAAAAAAAATCTGGAAGGAAAATATCGGACAATTTGTCGCAGCTGTATGCAACAAGTGTGGGCTAGAATTCAAAGAGAGGTTAAAAACACTTTGGTCATCATAACTTTTATGGGTTTTTTTTACATGAGATGAGCTTGTTGTTTTTTTATTTTTTCTATACATAAAATCTGAATTTTAAAACTTCATTTCATTATTACTCCAATAATCATTTGTTAGGTCATGTTAAACACAGAAACTGAGGTAATCTGTGAGGCCTAAGAAATGCAATACTGTTTCACAGCGCTGCAACATCAAAACCAAACAATATCAGTGGAACACATCTGGTTACTGAGCTCACCTGACGGACAGCTTTGCATTTTTCACAGCAGAAAATCAGCCATTCGTCTGTGAAGAAGAACAACCATAAACAAAGTGCAGAAAGGAAGCCACTTTAATGGATGTAATATGTCGACATGCTCACCTTTCCCATTTACAGCTGCTGCTTCGTCAGATCCTGAAGTCCCTGTTTTAAATACAAACCACATTATGGTTGCTGAAAACAGTAAGATTAGGGTATTTTTCTTAATCAGAAAACCTTGTTACAAATAACTACGACAGAGGACCATCTAGCTCAATGTTCCTGTCTCTTTCTGGGATATTCCCACCTACTGCTCCTCTTCCTCTCCAATGTGGCATCATGCTTGTTGAGGATACAGAGTCAATGACAAATGCAAAGAGCTGTGTTGACATATAAGCTTTCTACTAAATGGTAATCAATAATAAATACTTATTTTGACAGCATTTTATTAAACCTGACATTGAGGTAGACATTATGTATGAATGGGGATGTTATTATGAAACATGTGCCTCAAGCATTTGCAGTACTTTTTAGTCAATCGTTTTAGTCAATCTTTTTAGTCAACCCTTTATAGTCAAGTAACAAACTTTTAAGTTATGTGGAATAACACTATTAACTCTATTTAGCCAATTAAACAAGCACTACCAGACCAAGATTAAGCAATCTTGAAACACAAGATAAAAATCCAAACAAAACAAGTCAGACAGTTTTTAAAACCCATCAGCTTTGTTATCATGCATTATATCCCATAATGGGCCAGCATCCAAAAGAGTGGTTTCAAAAGAGGGGTTCTGCAAGTGGGTGGTCTTATAAAAAAAAAAAAACTTTTTTCCCCAATGATTCAATTCAGTTTATTTATATAGAGCCAATTCCCAACACATGTCATCTCAAGGCACTTTACAGTTCAATCAGATCATACAGTCAAATTGATTCAAAGTTTTCTATCTAAGGAAAACCAGTTGCATTGACTCGAATGCAATCCCTCACACTAAGCATGCTTGAAGAGACAGTGGAGAGGAAAAACTACCTTTTAACAGGAAATGATATGTTTTACTTTAAAGTTATAGTGGAGGATTTTCGCAAATCTTTAAAAGACCCACCCTCTCGACTTAAAAAAAATTTACATGCACAACCCTGTAGGGAACCTGAGAGGGAGCACCTATTAAACGTGTGCAAGAGCATGCACAAGCTCACTTCTCCTCGTGCACGCTCTGTTTAAAAGTTTCTTTTTGAAACGCTCAAGATATGCAATTTTTCCACTATGTCAAACTCACCACTGGTAAGAGAAAATGGGGACGTGCACGTACGACAGCCTTACGTAAAGATATCACCAGAATGATTGACAATAAGGAGGACCACTTGTTTTCATGATACACCAGGAAAAAGAACATCCTCCACTATACCATTGAAGGTGCTCAAAACATGGAACAGGTTTTCATATGAGGCAGTGACACGTGAGATTTTGAGTTCTTTTCTTATCATCAATAATTGATCAAAAATGTTATTTTGTAAATATGATTCAAAGTTAAAACATGCTAGTTAATATTCATATGCTAAACAAATAAAATAATAATTTATTAGGAACAAAAGTTAAAAAAAAAATTGATAATTTTATTTTTCTTTTCATCATTTTTAACATTATCTGGGGTCCCCTGCCAAAAGCTAATGCTCTTTGGGAAAAATTGAGTAACCCCAGATCTAAATAACACCTGAGCGGCAGGTTAAACAGAGTTCTTCTTAGTCTTACCATTTTTATATTCGCATGTCTTGACCTCTTGACTGTCTGTAGAGAGAAACAAACAAAAATGTTGGTACATCCAACAACAGCAATAAGAACAACATGTCATGAAGCTTTGAATTGATAAAATGGAGGGAAAGTCCTACCTCCTGCATCCCTTTCAGCACCGACTTCAGCTGAAAGTAGAAATCAATTTTTTTGTGTTAAAAAGGTCACAAAGGAGCAGAATCATGGAAAGGGTTACTATTCTATTATGTATAGTTGTGCTAAAAAGATGCAGTCCAAATCACTCAGTTTATTAGTTTGCATATTAGACTAATAGAAAAACTAACAGATCCAGTCATGGCTATAGAGAGTCTATAAGTCTTTGTACTGTATATAAGCTACTGGAACCAGAATTTCCCTGAAGTAGTAATCCTAAGGGATAAATAAAACTGAGTCTAAGTCTAAGTCTATGAAATGATGCTGATTATGCATATTACTGATTTAAGGGGGCAGGTAGAAGATAATACTGTGATGTTATTATTTGATTGGTGAGGTTGTTCATTCTGAGAACAATTTGGTCATATTGGTTTTTATTTAAGGTCAGGGCATTGTGCGGCTGCTACCGCATGGAATAGAGTGCGTGACCCATATATCTGCTGTCACAGGTTCGAGTTTTACCCTGCTGACCTTTGCCGAATGTCTCTCCCCTCTCTTCTAACCCACTTCCTGTCTCCACTACTTTTGAAAAATAACAAAATGAAAATCACTAGGGCCTAAAAATACGCTTAAAAAAAAAAAAAAAAAAAAAACATCAGAGCCCTTCGATAAAAGCAGAAAACTTAATATTTGGGAATAGAAAAAAATATAGAAACCGAAACTGGACAGGAGTACAACAGAGAACTTCAAAGGGTTAAGTGTTACTAGGATTACTTTAAAAGAGGGTAAGGAACCTAAATAAAGCAAAGCCATCTGCAAGAAGTCCCAACAAAAGAATGTGAACAAAAGAGGTTACTGGTTGCCAAAAAAAAAAAAAAAAAACTGAATAGCTTATTCAGAAATGGTGTCTCATTTTATATAAACATAGATGGTCCTTTTAAGGCTCTAGAGGTTCATTCAGTTTGTCAGATAATGTTAAAATACTGAATTTAAGCCACAGTATATCCTGGTAGCTCAAAAAAAGACTGAAACCATCCAAACACTTGAAGAAGTCATTTTTCTTTATGCAAAGGTGGAAATACGACTATACCAAAACCCCAAACAACACCAGTAAGCAAACGGCTCTTTTTTGTAAAAAAAAAAAAAAAAATGGTTAAAACTTCTAAAAATAAATTAGCCCTTCACTATAGTAGCATTATCTTACACTGAAATATTTTGGCAAAAATCAACCTTTACACTCATATCTTTAGGTGGATTTTGTGTTGGTTGAACATTTCTGAGTGGACTGGGATCCCTGTCCTTTCCAAGTAGAGGCCATCTGATGTATATTTAAGACATTGTGGTATTTTAAAGAGTTTGCGATGCTTCGTATTGTAATCAAATTCCCCAGAGCTTTTGGAAGGGAAACACTCCCACAGCACTGCAGATCCTCCCCCGTGCTTAACAGTAACCATTGGGGACTTTTACTTCAATTTCAAGTTTTTTCCCAATTTTCTTGTTTTTATTTTATAGTTTTGTATGAATAGAATTGTACATATTACCTGAAACTAAACAATGTTTGTTTACTTTCCGGTTCAGCAAAGTATCTGGAATCAAAGAGTTTTTTTTTAGCTTACCTACAGTGTTATAACAGCAAACTTTGAATATTTGGTTGTTTTTGTTTTTTTGTTTCTTTTTTTTACATCCTTCCAACTGAAAATATTGTCAAAGAGAATTTGGGTCATCATCCAGATTAGTTATAGAAATAGGGCTTTGCATCATGTCATATTTTACAGCTACGGGACTGGACCAGGTGAATGAATTTGATGGTTTCTCATTAGAAGTACTGTGATCAACCTTATAGAATAGAGAATTAATAATAAAAAAAACATGCCTTTGTTATATTTATGTTCACTTTGCATTTTATGCATCATTATTTTTATTTTATTATTTTTGTTTCCTTATTTGTTTCTGGTGTCAGACTTTCTATGATCATTGTGCCTATTGTTTTGGTAAAGTGTTTTAGGGTTTTAGTGAGAAGCTTGAGTCTCACCAGAATTCTCCTCCTCCTCATCTTCTTCTTCGTCCTCCTCCCCCTCTGAGCTGTCCTCACTGGACGTTCCTGCAGTCTCTGTTTAACCACGGCATGTAATGAACAGGTCACACAGGAAAACCTTTACTACCAGCAAAACTAGCATGGCTGCTCACCTGAACTGCTACTGTCGCCCTCTGAAGCGTTTTCTGCAAACAACGAACAGATTTAGGGTTAAAACAATTTATCCTGTGTAACCTATTGAAATATCATAACATTCTTTTTAAAAAGCCCCAAAAATAACAGATTAGACCAAAAAATATCTAATTCTGAAGGGAATAGGCAATATTTTACTTTTAAAGAGTATGCATTTTCTCTAAAGCTGTAAAGACTTTTCAGCACACTTGTTGCTGTGAATTACTTTCCCCTCTGTTAATGAGGAACCAAAATATAAAGAAGTACAAAAATAGCAAAAGGTGCAGCCCCAGAATCTTCTGCATGGTTTACCTTACCCTTCAGAAAACCCAAATCATAGCATTACATCATGCCATGTTTTAAATGCAGTGATAACCACTAATGAAATGTGTAGCTTGTGCCAAGAATTAACATTCTGGCACATCTTCATTGATGGGCCAAAAGAGTCTCTACTGCAGCAGTGAATGTCAGCAGACCAGGCCATCTGGCTGAGAGGCTGGCTGTGTAATGGATGGGGCCTGTCCTCCTCAGCCCACAGAGTTTTATCTTGGACTAACAAGCAGATGCTGCCATCAGTGCTCTACCCACAGCACCACCCTCATCAATCTCCCTCCGTCACTTTGCTCAATCCGTCTGCTTCACCTCTCTCTGCACTCTTCCACACCATCTTCTATTCCAACGTCCTCATATGCCTCATAGGTCCTTCTTCTGTGTCAGAGGAAAAATGACGCCAATCTCTGTTTTTAATCCATTTTCTAAACTATTACAACACTTAAGTGGAGACTCTTCACATGCTTGCATGAATGCAGTGACTCTGTACAGCTTCAGAGTTGGAAATGTGTGCAAGCCTGCCATCTGCTGCTCAAAAACATAGTTACAGCTATAACCAGAGAACATAGCAGAAGTATGTATTTAATAAATCTAAACATTTTCTATTTTGTCACTACAAGCAAGTTGTCATTTACGCATGGTTTTCAGGCTCTTTTGCAAATAGAAACCTGAAAAGTGTGGCCAACATGTGTCTTTAGTTTCCTTTAGTCAACACTTTGCAGAACATCCTGTCAGTAGAATTGCAGCTGTAAGTCTTTCCCAGGATTGCCCCTTAATTAGCCCTATCTAACTTCCTCTACTTCACACTGTAAACCCAAATGTTAAAAGTAATTATTTAAAGTAAGAGTGGAAACTCGTTATTTTGTAAACTGTCTGCTAAAACTGAGTGTAACATATTCTATTTTTTTTGGTACATTAAACATAAAACTTTTGGTTCATCTGATTTATTTGTGTAATAATTAAGCATAACTTAAATAACTTAACCAAGAACAACTTCACTATAATAAGGAAGTACTTTTGCGGATTTTGAAATAAGATCCTACTGACTGACTAGTTGGCAATGGGTGTGGCTAACTCTGCAAAACCATGAGTGATGCTGCAGTTGGATTTAATCGGTACTTGGTAATATAGTCCTAAATAACAAGATATTAACCTGTACAACTGTTTAATGAAATACATATAATGCTATTAGTTATATGATCTTATAATATTCGGAGGACACTGACAGCAATTCTGACAATGTCTTTATTGCAGATTCTTTATTCTGAGCTCTGCAGCTTCTACAGTGTTACTATGGGCCTGTCTGCTATTTCTATTACACTATTCAACAACTTTAGGTGATGTTTTGGTACAGCTGCATTTAGTTCTTAATCTTTTTGTTTAGATGATGGTTTTAAAAGACCTCTGAGAGTTCTACAAGCCTGGGATTTTGTCTGAACGTAACCTTGCTTTAAATTTCTTCAAATCTTTTGCTGTGACACACCTGCTGTGCACTTTATTCCTAATGATGTCTGATAGCCCTTTACAGAAAAAGTTAATTTATACTAAGATTAAAGCTTATGCAGATGGACTCCATTTACTGAATAGGTGACAAATTAGTTGGTTGAATTGCATTTAATTTAGGGACATCGGATTGATTAATAGAGATGCCCCACACACTTTCAGATATTCCTTTTCAAGACAAAGAAAAATAAAAAGGTCAAACATTTTCCTTCCACCCACAGTCATCCTTTACTTTTTGTCGATTAAACAAAATGACAAAGGAATCCTGCGCTGCCATTAAATGAAAGTAATCATTTGCTTGATTCACTTGGCAAAAAATGGGTGGTTTCAAATTGAAACATGGGAAAAAAGACTGAAGAAATAAATACTTAGAAATTTGACTTTTAGCAAATGTTTTTAATAGTTTTGTTAATTTTATAAAGAATGACTGAGGGGCAAGGATTGGTTTTCTCTGATGCTCTGTACTTGAGTAAATTGTTGACCTGTAAGGGACTTTGAAATGCCACGCAGTTAGTAAACAACTTTCTAAAGCACAGTTCTCTCTTTGATGACAGATAAAAGGTCTTTGTATTTCATTATCTTTATGAGACAATTCTGTCCATTGTCTTTGCAGTTTATGGCAGATAACACAATAAAGACTAATGATTAGCAAAGATTTACAGTCCAATAAAAATATTGCAAAAAATTAGAATGCACGAAAACAAAACAAGAAATATTTACCAGAGCACCCAGGATCTAAGGCGGGGAGAAAGGTGTGTATATATATATATATATATATATATATATATATATATATATATATATATATATATATACCCTAAGAAAATTAGAAAAGCACTTAGAGAGCACAGACTTCCCTCAAGCATAATATTGTGACCTACTGTACACTTGTCAATAGTCACTGCTGCCACCCTCTGGTATAAGGGGGAACTGCTTCTTTCCTACATTAATTACTATCTTAATGTTAAAAATTCCTTTTAAAAAATCCTCTATCTGGATTGAATGTAGATCATATCAAAATGTCATGAACTTTCCATGAAGCACATCTCTGGTACAAATTTCATTAAAATCAGTTCCTAACTTTTCAAGTTTTCCTGTACACAGACAGAAAGATAAACACACGGATAAGCTAATGAAGATGTTTGCTTTGGAGACAATAGCAATGCCCTACCTACAGAGAATTTGCATGCACACAAATGGCTTTACCTGCACGCAAAGCTGGTGCCAGATATGTTACAGGTGTCTCAAGTCTGCTCTTCTGCAACCCTCCTATCAGGTTCCACTTTAAATATTTGCCATCTGATGCAGTTGTGCCACTTGTCTACTTGAAGAGCTAAACACCTTAGTTAACTTTTCAATTCAACATTTGTTGTTGTTTTTTTCCTTTAAATTCCACATCTAACATTGCCAACTTAAACAGATCTTTTTTATTCTTCCTGCCTTTAGCTTTCAATTTACTAAAAATGTGAGTGTGATCTCCCTTGAGGCGTGAATTTCCACCATCTATGATTACAGAGGGATCAGGATAACAAAACTCGCCGGTGCACTGGTGGAGCTCAGGGTCTGGGGGTGGTTGCCTGGGTGGCTACTGGCCTCTCAGCGGGCCCCGGTTGGCCGGGGCCTTGCTGGGGCTCCTGTCAGGGGGTCTGGCGCCCCTGGGGCCTTGGATCCCTGGTGCCCAGGACTGGATTCACTTCAGGGTTGCCGGCTGCCGGCTGAGCCCGAGGACTCGTCCCCGCGGCTCCGGCACTGCGGTGGCTGGGGGGCTTCCTCGGGGCTGTCTCTCCTCCTCCCTTGGTGGGGGTCTGATTTCCTGGGCTGGCCCCTCCTTGGTGCCTTCGCTCTTGAAGTCGCTTTGGGTGTCTGGGGCTTTGGGTCTACCGGCGCACCCCATGCTCTGGGGGGTGCGCCCTTTTCGGCTCTCCACAACCACTATTGAGCATTTTCTCTATGGATAAACTTTACATGCACAAGTGCACCTTCACAAACAATTACAGGTGCCTGGTTCAAGGTACCCAGAGATTCACTTCCATACAAAAAGCCTACATTCATATCTTCACGTAACAAAGAGTACATGTCAGACTTAATAATATTACTTCAGCGATAGTTTTAAGGTGTTGCTTTATTGTATGTCTCATACCATGTCTTTCGGTTGTCTCCTTTCTATGTCCTCTTTCTTTCATCTTTTCTTTTTTTTCCTTTTTCTTCTTCTGTTTTTCTGCTCTATTTACATTGCAGTGTCCATATAAACTGTAAAACTCCCTGCATAATTATAATAAAGCAATTAATATGCATGAAACAAGTGGAGCAATATGGCAATTGCAATACTGCTACACTTGTGAAAGTAAAATCTGAAAACTGAGCAAAGGATTGCAATCTTATAATAGTAAAGTTATTCAATGTAAGGCAGTTACTACAGTAGATCAGAGACTAAAATCTCTCATAGGCTGTTATATTAATATTACATTTGAAAGACAATGCTTCTCCCAACATTGTCTATGTACACATTTCTGTCTCCACACATCAATACTATTTTGTTGTTAAAACCTAGGAATTAGGAGTAGTGCTTTGCAAAAATATATCTTAACTGTTTTACTGTTTCACTGTCAGAATACGCAGACAATCTTCACTGCATTTTATTTGCTGTTAAAAAAACAGATTATCACTTATCACTTCTTAAAGCGTTTCGAAACAATCTAAAAAATGAGGCCTTCATTTTAGTTCACTTGCTCTGCTTGCTTTAATTACAGCAACAACTGCTTTGAGAAGATGTCTATCTCAGACATTACTGCCCATTGGTGGAGATTTTCTGTCCAAGTCTTACCACAGATTTTAAGCTGGATGTGGGTCTGGACTTTGACGGAGCCATTCTGGGTTTTTTTTTTATTTAAACCGCTCCATTTTTCCTTTTGATGGCCAGTTTCCAGAAGGGAGGACAACTTTTAGCTGCAGCATCAAGTCTTAAATCAGCTTTAAGATTTTCTTTCAGGATTATCCAGTATTTACTCCCCTTCATGTTCCCAACAGCTTTAATCAGACACCCTGCACTTCCTGAAAACAGTTATACCCACAGCATCATCCTGCCACCACCATGTTTTATATAGAGATGGTGAATTCTGGGTAAAATTTTATGTTGATTATCTGCAGTGTTTTGCATGTTACAATCCTATCGTTACAATACCATCTTCTTCCCGTCCTCAGATGTGGAATGAACTGAGCTTTAATGTTTTGTGATATTGCTTTAGAAACTACACCCGTTTTAAATACTTCTACCATCGCTCTCACTCAGAGCCACCTGCTGTGTCAATAATATGCTCTAACAAAGCTCTAAGCAGCTGTGTTTACAGGCAGCTTAAATTTCTCAAATATCTGTTACTAAAGAAGTACAATAATGCTTTTACAAGGGACTGCAAACCAAAGGCTGGTGATTCTCACCCTGCAGTGTTTCTGTAATGGAGAATGTGACGAACCATCAAGTGTGCAAAGGTTGGATGATCCTAAATGAATTGTGGCTGCCATGAAAGTACAAAATGAATATCTAAAATACAACTACAATATATATCTTATAATTTTATTTTTGTTAACTCATTTAAAATAACCTTTTCCTGTGTTTATTTGGTGCTTGTAGAGAATTGTAATAAAACTGACCCCATAATACACAAGACAACTGAAAACAAACATTAAAATGACTGTCCAAGCACAGTTCAGTCCTTTTAGGCAAACTGTATGGAAACAAAGACTTATGTAAAGGGGAAAAGAAATAAGGAAGTAGGAGATATGTCCTCCCTGAAAAAGTGAAAGTAAACACAGACGTTAACGGCAATAAAAAAGGGACAGAATGAAAGTGACTCTACCTTTGCTCTCCAGGGCAGGAACCTCTGTGTCTCTGCAAGACAAGAGAGAAAAAAAATTGTAAAACAGCAACTCAAAGTACGAACAGTATAATGGTGGATAGTACTATCCATATGCATGATCTTTATGTCTCTGCTTCTGTTTATGGACAGTCATGTAAAGTGTGAAGTGAGTAAAAAATTATCTCATATTCATCCTGTGGGAAAGAATGCGTGTTCCAAAGAAAATGTTTCACTTTGTCAAGTTTCAGTTCTTAACACCCGCCTCATTTGAAGTAACCCTCGCCTATTTAGCATACCCAATTGGAAAAGCAAACAACTGAGGAACCGTGAGCTCAATTACATGTGTGATAGATCATTTGAAAGCTAACACCTTCTAGTTTAAAAAAAAAATGTAAATGAAATTGGGTGAGTAAAACACAGCCTAAGCTGCATCATTTCAAACATGACTCAGGGTTGTTTTTTTATTCTCGAAAATAATAGGTCTTTTTTGTTGACATGATTGGTTCCAAATCATGTCAACCACAAATGTAGAAAATGTCAGACCTCTAGCTATAACAGTTCCTAAGCTGTTAGGCTTTGAACTTTTGGTGTTAGCAGCGTCTCCAAACGTCTCCAAATTGCGCCAAATTCTTATCCTCAACTATTTGACCCATAGAATAACACTGAAGCATTTTTCCATTTTTTTTTCTTTCAGAATCTGTGTATATAACAAAATGTAATATTTATAAACCTATAATAACACAAAAATCTATTTAAACAAATAGAGAAACTGCTGCTTTTCAAGCTAAAATAAGCTTCAGGGCCTTTTCTGAACGTTATTTTTGTTTTTTGTTTTTCGGCCTTAGGCATTGTAATCAAACAAAATCAGCATCCAAAAGTCAAAACTATGGGACCATTGTTATTATTTCGCTTCACTCTTACGCAAGCCGGTTACACAGCTCTTCTTTATGCAACCCAGCCATGTCTACCCTTGTTTAAAACCTTATTTCATCGGCTACAAACTGCCCATGTGGTCCTAACCAACAACAGCAGGACTATATGAGGCGTAATATCGCTCTACTCGGTGCGTCATTGGCTGACAGGCAAGGAGCGCTTGTGATACTTCATCCCTGACTCAAATCAAGTCATACAAAGATATGAATACTTTTGTCTTGTAGGTAAGAAGATGATGTGAAGCAACATACCAAACATAGCGGGCAAACAACTAAGGAAATAAGTATTAGGAAGTAAATATTAGCAAGAAGTATTAGCTATGACCAGCTAACTTTTCTGACGTCGTTATGTTGCAATTTTCTCATCATGGAATATTTTATTATGATTACTCTGGATTACCTTTAATCTGGAATCTTATGGACGAATGGGGTACAAACAATTTCCTTCCAAATGCATGTTGTTGTGGCTCCATTGTCATGTTTACATTTTGACATGCTGCTATATCTGTGTTAATTATGCTTTGGTGCTCGCTGTGTCCATTAAATAAACATATTGTGGAGAATCTAAGCTTTCCAACGATGTCTAACATGTTTATATTGGTAAACATTTTACCAGTGTAATTTTCATGCATTCTGAGTTATTAGTTTTAAACGCTATAAACGCCGACGATTGGACGGGTTTTGAGAGGTAAAAGAAGAACTTGAAACTAGATTAAAACCTTAAAGAGAAAAGTTTCAAAAATTCTGATTCATTTATCTATTTAAAGCATCTGTGTGTTAAGGAAACAAATGTTCTATGTGAGTAAAACGGTCGTTTAAAAAAATAAAAAAATAATGAGCATTGTAAAAATGCATTTTTAGGATTGCCCACAATCCTTTAGAAAAAAAACACAGCAGAAATATGAATGTTTAAGAATTAAGGTAGAAAATTACTCAGAATTATTGAAAACTCAAACAGAACCACATGATCTGCATAAAATCGACTCTGTGGGGTTTTGTTAAAGAAGCCCCCCCCCCCTGCTGTGAAAGAGCCCTCTCCTCTGGAAACACATCAACATAACAGCATAATGCTAATTGCATTCTTCTTCTGTTTGCTCCTTTTAATACAGATCATGCAGTTACGTTGAAGTTTTAGTCCTTCAACGCATCCGCTGCAGAACCCAAAGGGAATCAACCATTTTGTAAGGCTAATTTAACTTGACTGGATTACATTACAAGTTAGATCTTCAATAACTTTTTAGTAAGACTATTATAGTTTTACAGCAAACATCTTATTTTTAAGCTTAGAACTGGATATATGATTGATTTTTTAAAGGCAATTCTCCTTTTTCTTCCTCCATTTGCATAATAAAAACAACTTGCTGATATAACAATGTTATAGAGTTCTGAATTTAATCAAAGAAAAGTAAGAAAGAAAAGATGGAGAGGAAATGAAGAAAGTAGCAATGCTTACTCTTCACTTGATCTAATGGTATGGCTGTTTAATGCGCTAATGAATGCATGTATGTATGCCAATACAAGAAAAAATACACATATAAGCCAAAAAAATATCAGCTGGCCGATCTATTGTTCTACTTTTATTACTGACCAGATTATAAAGTCTATTTTTTAAGAAGTTGAACAAGTTTTGATACCCTGTTTCTCTATATTTGACACCCAGTGCACTAACTGAATATATAAAAATAGAAATATCCATCTTTATAAACACCCATGTAAACACCCTGAGCAATAACCCTGTATAGTCCTATTATTAAAAAAAGCTGTTATATGTGGACGCACTGTATATACTGTATATATCTATGCACCTTTTTTCTTCCTTTGGCACATTCTTCTTCTCTTTTGACTATTTAAGCTCATGTGATGAGCAAATTTCTCCACTCTGAGATCAATAAAGTTTATCAATCAATCAATTAAGTTTGAAACAAAGCAAAAACGTTCTCACATTATTATGTAAGTTTAAACACCTATAACGCAGAAACCACAAATAGTTCAGAGCTGTAATTTGCTACTTAATCTATACAGATGTAAAAAACGTAACATGCAAAATTTCAGTTCAATCCAACATCTTGAAGTGGGTCAGGAGCATTACTTATATGCATTACCCCTCGTAGATTATGTGAGAAATATAAAGCTGCACATGCTCCAACGTTCCTGACTGGAAGGCTATTTAGAAATAAAGTGACTCTGATTAGTTTAATGTTTCACATACTTTTTTTCTGAGAAGACGAGCTGGACAACCTGCTGATACAATGCAAGCTTCAACAAGAGGAAACATGTCTGACTTCTATTAGGAGCAAGAAGCAGAGTGAAAAAAACCCACAATGAGGCGTGGTGATGCAGTACATCATTCTCTTTTCCTGTTTCTCTCCCATGGCTGTAAAAATGTTAACCAACCATATGCCAAATGATGACTCAGGAAGAAGGGGGTATTTCATCTAGCACCTGTTTATCCTGATAAGAAGCGGCTGCTTCCTTTTTTGTTCTATAAAACATCTCCAGGAAACTGTGTTTTCTCTCTCACTCCGTCTCTCAGGGTCATCTTGCTAGCACCTCTGCCAAGTAGTAACACTACAACTGTTGCATGGATCTCATTAGTTGCCTGGGTAATCATCACTTCCTCTGTGAGATGTGGGCTTTGGTGAAAAACACGCCCTGTCTAAGTTCACTTCTTTGCTCTTATTTATTTTACAAACTCTTCCCATAGTGCATCATTCCACTTCTAATATCAGACAGTTGAGTCTTTAGTTTCAGGTTGGCTTTAAATGCTTTGTTGTCGGTTGACATTATAGTAAATAACCCAGATGTCACAACTGATGACAATTCAACTATTGTCCAGATTATTTGTAACAAAAGTAAAATGCCTCCAAACCTATCAAACTGCTGAGTCATGTTACCATCAGCCTGCAGAGGTTTTGATTGAGATTTGAATCCACAGAATAATACACAGCATCACAATATTGTAAAGCAGAAGATATGTTAAATTGACTTTTTAAAATAAAAATTTGAAAGCATCAGGTCTGACTTTAACCAAACTATTCCAACACGTGATTATACTTTGATCTGGAGTGTGAACCTCCAACAGATTTTCTGCTAAAGAACAACTGGAGACTGAGTTATACTGATGTCTGTTCAATGCAGAAATTGTTTAAGCTCAGCCTGAGTGGATGAAGAGCTCTATAAGCATCAATTTCCAAATAGTTTCACCAGTAAATTCATATTACTTGATGAAAACGACTACTTTGTAGCTCAGGTTTGGTTTGTCGTGCTGTTGGAAGGTGAGCCTCTGCCTATAGGTGAGTTTTTTAAAGCCACAAACTGCTTTTCTGCCAAAATTACCCTGCAATAAATGTACCTTCATGCAACTTCTCATCAGCTGTACTCAGCTTCCTTGTTTCTATTGTATGCCCACAACATAGGGATGTGCATAATTACACGCCAATAAGGCCTCTGCAGTTACATGCAATGTTAGGCCATACATAGAGTCTTAATTTGAACAGAGCTCCTTCTTCTACAGGGTTACCGTGTCCTCTAAATGGCTTGTTTTCAACTTTACATTGGAAACTTTTACGGCTGTCTTTCAGCAAGGACAAAACTATTATTTGTACCGTAAACAGAGTCTACCAGTTAAAGCTGCGGGTCTCTGCAGCTCCTTTAGACAGAGATTCACAATATTAGGAAATCGTGGCAAAGATATGAATACTGTTTCTCCAATATGCTTCAAACAATATGCCGCCTTTAGGATTTAAAGCGATGTCATTTGGGACCCATGTTGGGATGTGCAGCCATGAAACTTGGTCCATCTGCCATCTGGATAAATATTCCACTAGCATGTAAAATCCAAGTTCATAACACTTGGGTTATAATAACAGCCAACAATTACTGCACTCTAAACACTCCATTAAGATTACGCATAGTGGTGTTGCCATGGTGATGTCGAGCAGCCTTGCTTCCAGAGTTACAAACTGGTTAATATAACTTTTTTTTTCCAATATTCACCCTCAAACCTCTAATTTTATGACATTTAAAGGCTGTTGGTGACATTGGGTTTTAATTGGATTTCAAAGAAAGGGGGCCAAATACAAATACATGAAATGCTTTATAATTTATTTATTATAACATTATGAAACCTACTCATTCTTTGACTTGGTCTAAAGCATAAAATTCTAATAAAAAGAGGTGAAGTTTGAGGTTATAACATGACCAAATGTTAAGTAGCTATGAAAAATGTATGTCTGACATATTTTTAATAAAACCTCCCTGTGGAAGTTCTAGCGCTTCCACTGCTCCCCTGTGCTTCAGTCCTCCTTCTGTTCTCAGAGTCTCTGCAGACAACACGTGTTATGCTCCTGCAGGCAACCCATAAACACAGCGCAGATAGGAGACGTTGTGTGTAGATAAGCAACAGTCGGTTAGGCTGCATCCATAACAACAAAGCATACAGAAATTTTTAAAAAATACCAGCCTAAAATCAAACTATTAGTTTGAATATGTTTGACTTAAGCAAAATGAATAAAACAAAAATGTGTTGTTGATTTCATAAGTAAGTCTGGGATAATTAGTTATCAAGCGCTTTTCAAGATTGCCAGTTTTACAGTCAAACCAAGAGTAAAGAAAAAAATACAAAAATATATATAATTATTTAAAAGGCTGATCAAACAAACATGTGAGACCAGATTAAACCACTATGAACAGTGATCTAAGTCTGCAGAATCTGTACGAATGATGTCCATAATAAACATTTTATTGCCCCAAATTTCAAAATCCATACCTTGATTAAGTGCTGACAACTGTAGGGAAGCTAAAACTGAGCAGCTGTGGGCTCTTCTGTTTCTACCTGTTTTCACTGGTTCCGTAGACAAGGTCAGAATCTGATTTAAAACATGTAAAAAGGCCTTTTAGTCCTAAAATGTTAGTTGCATCCAACCATTGGAAGCGACCCTTCTCTGACACCTAAGTTAAATGAATGTTTAACAATCATGTTTTTGCAAAAGTTGCTGACATGCAAGGAAGGTGATTTAGAATTCTGTTGGAGTATGGATGCATTCAGAAATTATAGAACAGTAGTAGCAGTGGAGATCTGATCTGAAATAAGGCAACAAAAAAAGGTGTATGGGAAAGGTCTATAAGATCTGTGAGAAATGTTCTTAATTTAACTTTAAATGTGCACTCTCTATGAAGTGGGTCTCAGAACAGTGTTATGTGAAGCAGAAGCTATCCTGAGCTCTAGACCCATCACAAAGGCTTCTACAGATCCAAATGACCTAGAAGCGCTTACTCCGAACCACCTGTTGCTTTTTAAAAACTACGCCATCACTTCCACCAAGATGCTGTCAAAACAATGACCTATATGCTCCCCGCAGATGGAGAAAAGTCCAATATATGTTGGATTTTTCTGGAAAAGATGAACTAAGTAATATCTTCCACAACTGCAACAAAGACAGAAATGGTGCAACCCAAAACAAGACTTAATTCCCGGAGACATTCAAGAGATTTCTTAGGACAAAAAAGGATTTGTTCGTCATCTTCGGATCAAGACAAGGACTGGATTCTTAAATAGAGCCATTAACAAAGTCTGTCTTTGATATGAGACAGAGAACATTAAACCAGCTGGACTGACAGCCTTCTTCAAGTGACTTGCTCAAGTGATCAACGGACTATTAAATTCACAGATCAACCTTGGTGATATGGGTAATAGTATTGGTGAATGTGGCACTGAATAATAAATGAAATGTCTTTAAGTTTTGAGACCTTAAAGTTTTGTAATTATTATTTTAAAGGATAATAATTAGGGGCCGGTATTGTAAGAGCCAAAGCTAACGGTTTATATATATATATATTTTTTTTTTTGTGTGGCGTGTTCAGATCTTCCCACAGCTAGGGTGATTGCTTAGGGGGTGTGTTCCCGTGTTATTTTAGAAGATAGGAGCCAACCCAACAGGCAGTTGGGTGAGGAGGTTTTCTGTTGACTGTCGTCGTCACTTGTAATTTTTTGGAAAATAAATAAGAAAGAAAAAGCAAGTGGGGGTCAGGATGGCTTCATGGAGACGCGTCACAGCGCTCAAAACATCTCAGCCAGCAGTGGCTCTGTTGCAGAGGCGTAGCCAGAAAATCCTAATAGTGGTGGCCAGTCCATAACCAATGTACATTGAGGGGAGGCCGAAAGGCGCCAGAACCTCAGGGTCAATCTACACTGTTCCAAAAGGAACAACCACAACATCCATGTTTTCTAAATAAAGACTTACTATACTTTCCTACAGCCTTTGCTAACAAACAGATGCAGATATTTAAACATCCATACTGTCTAAATTAAAGGTGTAGTGGACAAAATTCTTTCAGGTATAGTTCTGGGGCTAAGATCTTTTACATTGTCTTTGCCTACTTTTATCAATAGTCATTCTGCAAAAAAAATTATGTTTACATGTACTAATATCCACATTTAATGAATGTTTAAGTTATTATTAAAGTAGTTATTTATCTCTGATTTCACTTAAGACTCCTAGATGACTTGCAGAGACACATAATTTTATCTTTATCCCCCAAATAATTCAAAATTAAGTTTTGAAAATAGCATGAATTCTGTATTTATCATCTTTAATGTTTGTATATTAATGTGCACGTGCATTAACCACAGTGTTTCTGTTGTAAAGTAATTGTTAATATATGAAAATTGTAAATGTTTAATGAGTTTGAACATTCCCCTTCAGAGTATTACTGCTGCCACCGTCTGTATTAGAGAGAAAAAATGGAAGGGGTGGGTAAGATTGGGTAATGGTGGCCATGGCCACCCCTGGCCCCCCTTCTAGCTCTGCCCCTGCTCTGTTGGTGGATCGAAGTCGCTACAGTGAGGTTATATTGGGACTTTTCCATCCAGTCCCTCATGCAAACATATCATGTGCAGGTTTGAATATCACTGAACAGAATGAGTCATCAGTATCAGCTCAGCTGCTCAGGGTTTAACAATAACAATGATATATGATGATCTGAAGAGATAACACACCTAAAGCGCAGCTAGATTATCTGAATACGATGTCAAATTACATTAATAAACTGTAAACCTAAAGCTGATTGTATTTTTTTAAAGAGACGTAGTTTTTAGTTTTTAAATAATTTATTAAAGAGTCACAAACATCGTTTACAGTTATCCTTTCTTTTCACGCAAAGGCGTACCGACACAACAACAGGCCCGTGAGCAACATTATCTGGGCACCATATGAAGTACAACACTCTGAATTACCCAAAATTCCAAGCGGTAGTGTAAAACATAAAAATACATCGTTCTTTTAACATCTTTACTACGGTTTAAATTATATTATACGAGTGTATTTTTTACCAACTGTCTAATGAACTATACACAGTTATTTACATAGTAATTAAAAGTACCACTGTCGGCTCACCATCCCGTTGAACTCTGGCATGTGTTGGGGTATAAATACAGTCCGGTCACTAATTTAAAGATCAGTTGGATATTAAAGAGTAACTTTTCGCATCAACACACGTCCAACTCCATTAAAGCCTCCATTAAAGCGTAGAAGATCATTCAGATGTGAGTGACGGGGCCCCTAAGCAGCTGCATGTCGATATTTACGCTGTTGTTTTCACGCAGCTTGATGACTCATCTAGTATAAAAACACACCAGCGTGGACCGCAGAGACGCAACAAAGAAATAAGACTTCCTCTTTGTAACACTTTCATTTTCACACCAAGATGTATCAAATGAGCAAACGGATGAGCCTGGCTTGATAACAAACAAAAGACACCACTTCCTGTGATCGAAGCGACCCAGACCTCCACATTTTATCAATTTGTTTCCCTAAATGTGGGTAAAGAACTCACCCGTCTTCCAGGTGGCACGCTGCTCCATAGTTGGCCATCTCCGCCACCATCCCTCCAGCTGAAATCTAACCCAAGTCAGGCTGCGGTTTCTCCTCTGACTGGAACCACCTGAGAGGAGGCAACGCTGTCTCCTCATCTACATTAAAGGCGCTTAAACCGCTCGCGCTCCTTGCATCGCGTGTCACATTGAATGCAGCGTATCCGTAAACAAAAGGTGAACAAAACCTGGAGTGTATATCTTAAAAAAAACGACGGTTAGCGGTATTTCAAGCCTGCGCAGGAGATCCACACGCGTTTTGCAATTTGCAGCATCGTCTCTTTGCATAAAAATGGTGTTTGTGTGTTGCACCGAGGGAAAAAAAACCGCAGATCTAACTCCATGTGTATAGGCCCACTGCAAGTAAATCAGCGTAGCGGGTTGCGTTGATGATTTGTAGATTTGCGCAGTTGAGGCGCTGCTTTTTGACCGGCATGAATGTGTAAGCAGTGGGCGGAGATTAGCAGCCCGCCTTTAAAAGTGTTTGTTTTTTAAGTCATGGTTTGATGTACAGTGAGGAACCTTTGTGATTTTTATATCTGGGGCGGCCACGGATAGTGAGACGCGTTGTGTTTATGTGATTTGCGTGTGTATGAACAGGAAACAAGGAAACAAAATTCGTTTATAACCCGAAAGACTTCCTTTAGTATCAGTGGGGTTCGCACTATTTATCATCCGGCGCACCAGCCGGATGGCCCATCAACAAAACATCTGTTCAACGAAACAATAGCAGCCTGCTTATACTGTAAACTTACAGGGGTCAGAATTAATTGTATAAATCTGAAGTTCAAAGAAAACAATTGTCCAGTGCCGAGAACATCTACAAGATTATATAAAAAAACAAATAATATATATATTTTTATATAAAATACTTCACTCTGTCATATTTTTACATACAAAAAAATCCATCTGATATTTTCTGTTTACTAAAACAGAAGAAAAAAAACCTAAAGAATGTGTGCCTGTAATATTGTCAATTGCATTAAGGTCTGTTGAAATAATACAAAGTAGGCACTTGTATCATTTTTTTATGCTTAAAAACATTTTCATTCAGATGGCAAATGAGGCTCTAATAGGAGACAATAGTTGTATGACTGCTTTATAGCGTTGTTCTTGCAGAGATGATCCCTGGGATCAGCTGTGCAATCAAAGGGTAGAAAGAGATTAATGACCACCCTAATAAATTTAAGTGCTTTCAGGTAAATTATTCTCCTATACCAGAAAAACGTCAAAAATTGTATATTTTAGTTTCTGCTTATTTTACTGTCTAATGTCTTCAAATTGTTTTTTTTTTTATTTATCAATTTTAAAGAAACACTGCCATCACTTTGCTTCTTCATACCTGGCTGACTGCTAAAAGGAGCGCACCCATTGGCAACTAAGTGTAAATTAGAGTCGTTTTGTTAAGATAAATAACAAGAAAAAACATTGTGTTGGTTTGCTCTTCTTAAGGTATTTTTATTTATTTTGCTTTTCAAGTCAGTTTTTTGCCCGATAGGGAGTGGAGCCGCCTATATGGAGGCTGCTCAGAAGAGCGGGAAACTAGGGTGCTATATTACACTAATTGACCGCTAGAGGGCGCGGTAGACAGCAACTGCAGCAGACTACAAAACGCACAACGCTCACACTTTGAGACCCCTTTACTTATTTATGATTAGATTTCAAAGAATATTTCTCTAAAATCCTAATCCTACATTTAATACTTTGTGTAAAAATGTCAATTGTTGAAAGGAATTTTATTGAGAAAATAAAAAACATGAATAAAAGCAAACATAAATACAATGCATTAAAACTATATAAATATAGTTAAATTATATAAATAAAGAAGTCAAAAGAAGGGCTCTGAAAGTCTTTAGCTGTGTTTTTTTTTCTTTTTTTGTTTTTTTTTTCCTTACATTTTTTAAATCCCTTTGTTGCAGCTAAAACACATTATTTTTCCATTGATGGAAATTATCCGAATGTAGAGAAAAAAGAAAAACAATTGAAAGTAAACTGGAATCCTTTATAAAGTCTCAAAATTATCTCCCAAATACATTAAAAAATAAAATAAAAAACACCATGTAACAAGGACTAAACGGGAGAAGATGGATGGATGGATGGATGGATGGATGGATGGATGGATGGATGGATGGATGGATGGATGGATGGATGGATGGATGGATGGATGGATGGATGGATGGATGGATGGATGGATGGATGGATGGATGGATGGATGGGAATAAAAACCACAAAAATAAAAAAAAAACATGAAGATGAAGACTTAAGCACATAATATTATTCTAGTGCAGAACCTTGCAAAAAATAAAGTAATATTCCAGGCTTTTGTTTACATTTTGTCAAATTCTTAATAGGAAACATAGTGGTAGCAGAATTATGCTCTGGGGTTGCATTTTCTTTAAAATAGGAGAGGAATTTAACTCACTACAGAGTTGTTTTCTTAATATGACCAATATGACCAATGTCCCTCATCAGTGTTTGTCAGTGTCATGGGCCTAATGATGTAAGGCTAAGCCGTCTGGAATCAGCATAGCAGTATGGAGCACCTTTCCTACCCTGGATAGAGTTCCAACTGTTGACTTTATGAAAGGTGAAGGGATGGAAGCTATGAACAGGAGCTATAGGAGGTACAGTTTGATGTATCCTGAGTGACCTTACAATTCAAGTGATTGGGGCGGCCAATGATTGGCTAGGGCTCACCATGGCAAACTTCAAACAGGACTTTCTATGGCTCTTCTATGAAAGTTATTTTTCATTTGATATTAGTCGATCACCTAGCATCCCACAATTATTTGGAAATTATAATTTTATGTTTGCACTATATATATACTTTTATAACAGGCTTTATATCTGCAGACACATTGAACTCAGAGGTTAAAAAATTGTATGCTTACTTCTTTACACTTGTATTATTTACATCTAGCTAATATAATAATCTGTTTTATCTTATCTGAAACCAATAAAACTAATAGATTAAATGTCTGGTTATGATTAATACAAAAAATAAAAGAATAATCAAATTTACTTGAATTAATGGATGAAACTATGGTCATCTGCTTCATATATTTATTCTACCCCACAAATATAAAAATAATGTATAAGACAGAACAATAAATTAATCAGCACTTCAAACATGGATACATGTGCTAGAACAAGTCATGTGTTCTACAAAATAAGTGGTGATGTTGACCTGCAGGTGGCGCTACACCACCAGACTGCCAACTAAATCAGCAGGTTGACAAAAGGGTTTGTTGTAAAAAAAAAACTACCTAAATATAATAAATATATTTCTAAATTCATTCATTTGGAGAAAACAGACAGTCTAGTCAATAAGATAATAAGTAACACACCAACTCTTTAATATAAGAGATTTTTATGCAACATGGAGCCATAATAAGGTAAGATTTATTCAATGCAGTGTACCGTAGTAAAAATGTTAAGAACCTTTATTTAAAAACAGGTAAGTAAAACTTGGGTTAAAAGTTACACTTCATTACTAAATGAAAGTAAAGTCGGGAAGCAAATAGAAGGGTCTAATAAAATAGACCCAAACCTTAAAGAGGTAAAACCTTCTGCTCTATAGTTTCTAATCATTTCTGCAGAAGAATTTTAACCACTCTTTTCAGCATTTGGCACAACCCATTTAGGAGCTCGGGCAGTTTTTCATGGGTAGCTCTCCTTTTACCCGGCTTTACCTGTCAGACAGATGGCTTCACATCTGAGAGCTCAAAGCTGACCCAATGACTCCAATGTGGCTGCAAATCTAGCCTGAAGCATGATCCTTTCACCAACATGCTTAACTGTGGGTGTGATATATATACGGTTTGTTTAAATGGAGCCTTGTAAAGCTAAGACATTTTTTGTGTGTGTTTTTATTCTAATAGCTTTTCTTTTTTTTAACATGCTTGCTTGAGGCTTAAAGAGATGCAGTTCAAGGATGTCACTTCCTGGTCTTCCCTTTCACTTTTCTGTTCGTTGCATAATGATGGACTTTAAACTGTTTAATGCCGCGCCTGCAAATCCTGTTGTCTGTCCTTGCAAAGTTTGAACATTTAAAAAAATTGTTATATCTGCTTTAATATAGGTGCTCACTCTTAATGATGATCAGTGGTTTTAACTTGAATCAGCTGATTGATTTATGCCTAGAATAGAAAATCCTGTTATTGTCCCACAATGGGGAAATTCTGGTGTTTACAGCAGCAAAAAGATTTCTAGGAAAAAAATGGTCACACAAATATGGACTTTAGAAAAATGTAAAAGTATAACATAAAAGTGGAAAGTTAAAAGATAAACAAAAAAATACTGTACTGTAAAGTATTTTAACAATATAAAACTGTGCACCTGGAGAATAAATAACCAATATACAGCTATGGGCATTTTTACAGTAACGGATATTTGAAAACAGCAGCAACATCCGAGAGGTGCAAAATGACAGCAGCATGTTAATTTAACTGATTAAGGTAAGAACTGTGCAAAATCAGCATAAATGTACCAAAGAGATGATAAATCATCTTGTGTTATATTCAGAGATCAGATCATATATTTACACATGTGTACAAATGAAGGTTTAAGAACAAATATAGGGGTGGATAAGCCTTTGCCTTACCTCCTAAAGCATGCATGTTTTTCCTATAAATCCAGAGGAAGGTCCTTAAGAGCAGGAATGCTGTTTTCTGTTATAAACTATATGGTGAATTGTCATCAGGTGGACCAGGATAGAGCAACTCAGCATGCATCCTGCGTGCTGCACAGCTGAAGGGGGTGAACTGTTAAGACAGAAGTTCTGAGGTGAGTGGAAATTATTAGTAAGTCAAAATAATCACATGATCTATGACATGACAGATTTATTTAATCCAAAGGAAAACAGGCTGACATTAATTTAGTGCTTGATCCTCGACTGAGATCAGTTCCTTATGAGTCGTGACTAATCAGTGACTTCATTCTCTTTTATTCAATCTGATGATTTAAGTCCTGCATGGATTTGATCTTTGTATATTCAGTTTTTCCTGTTGTCATCTACATATGTTCCTCTTGCTTTCTTTTGGATAAATGTGTTTTATCAGAACTTTGGGATACTTTCATCCCCTCAGATTAGTTCTCTATTGTCTCTAATGTCACTGCGTATGCCTTGTTCTTCTTTTTGCCAATGATCTGAATGAAAGCAAATGTTTAAAAAAAATAGACGTCTATATCTTTCTGGCACTATTTTCTAGCAAGCAGCCATAGGTCAGGGACAAAAAAAAATAGCGATTCAGTGTTGTCAAGAAATACTAATTCATTTAAATGAC